AGAAAAAAATATCATTAAGTATATATTATACTATAATCTTTGAACATTGAAATATGACATTTATCGTTATAAATTTACAGTATACACGGTTTCCAGAATAATATTATAACATATATCTAATTCCTTGATATATGCTATTGATAAAGAATCCAATTGATCAATTATAGATATATTTCTAAAAAAATTTTTAAACTCTTTGCATAGTTTTCATTGTAACACTACTCTTCATAAAATTTAATAAAAATGTTAATATTTCTTAATTGTCACACTGTTACACTAAACCTCTCAATTTATCAAAAATCAAAAAAAAGCTTTTGATAAAATTGATTAAATTAACTCTTATCATGAAACATGATCATCACTTTAATTCCAATCACAAAAATATATATCCAAACATAAAATATTTAGATTTCACGTTACATTTTAAAAGTTTTCACATTAATATACCAAGTATAAAATAATACCCCCATTATTAGATAATTTCTGCTGATCATAATTCATTTTATTTGTCCCATGATATTTCCCGATTTGATAAATGTACGTCGAAACTTCGATTTCCAGAATTGTGCTCAAAAGAACAGCCACTCTTTATAGTCATACGTACGAACTTAGCCCTTTTGTGTAGCACTAAACAGCAACCAACCGGTACTCCGAAGTACTTCCTGATGTTTAATTTAACAGTCGCCCCACCGAAACTTTCGAGCTGCTTTTCATGCCATACTCTGTTACAGAAGTGAACAAATCTAAATTTAATACCGTGGCCGGCCGTGAAAAAACAGAGAGAACGTAAAACACACGGAATGGAAATTGAAATTTCATTGTATGCCTCGTTTGAAAACGTGCAGTATTATCAAGATAAAATTTTAGATGTATGGAACACATAGCTGAGAAACCAATAAAATTGCTGGGTTTGCAAAAAAAAAAAAGGATAATGCAATATTTGCATTGTGATAAGAATCAATGATTTGATCATTTCTTTTTCTTGTTTAATAATTAAGTTAATAAATATCTTTTTTTAATTTTTTGAATACGTGCACGAATTGTTTACATTTTCGCAAATTAAATATAAAGAATGAATTTTTTTATGAATTTTAATTCTAAATAAATCAATGATTTCTCATCTTGAGATATTTCTTTACACTTTAAACAGATCCAGGAAAAACTTGTCTATGTATTAAGCAAATATTTTTCATTCGACAGAAAAAATTCAGGTAAAATTAGAGAAGTTTTCAATACTTTTTACGTAAATTAAATTTAAACAATAAATATTTCTATGAAACTTCATTATTTAGATATTCGTTCGTCACAATTATTCAGATAATCGGTTAAAGAGTAACCAAGTAGAATGAATCCTGATTTCGAGCAATAGGGATAAAATCGATCGAAGGGAAATTTCCGGCTGGCCGATCTTTCCACGGAAGAAAAGTTTCATTCGATCGACACAATAGTTCCATTATCCAGACAGTTCTGTAACGCGTTTTCGCTGATTTAACCCATTTGCATCGGAAAACGTGGCCAATTCCACAATACGAAATATCCTATATAATGGTAAATTATTTTATGCGTATTGCACGAATTTCTGAAAGATTCAATTTTGAGCGATAAATTGAAATATTTGATGATAAAGTTTATAACGATTCGAAGATCATAATGATTACGTAGTTGATCATAATGTTTGAAAAAAAAAAGTTTTTATTTGAATACGAGAGACAAGTTTTTAATTCAGGAACTTAGATTTTTAGATTCATTCCTCCATATGCATTTATGAATTATAAATTATTATTGAAATAGGTTCAAGAAAAAAATTGAAATATGCCTTAATCCATATGAATTTAATTTATCTCGTTTCTTGTTAAATTCTTTCAATATTTATAATATAATTCAATTGTAACCAAGAAAATATCCTTTTATATTCGATCGAAGGAATAAATAATAATAAAACAGAATCCTAGAAAATCAAAAGTTTAGTTATCTCGTAAACTTTTAATTACATTCTACGTTCATTTACATAGTTGTAGCAAACTGTGCATATTTAATGTTCATTTTTATGCAGAACCAGCAGTCAAAGAGTAGCTAAAAATGAAAAGAAGCTGCGTTTAAATCGTATACGGTCGTGTGTGTAACTTATAAAGAGATTATTAATAAAGAGGCTGTTAATAAAATCTCTTGGAAAAATTATATTGCAAAATTACACGTTGGATTTATACTTATTATCGAATATTCTGAATCAGTACTACTTAGTCACTTATAATTATATGAAAAATTCTAGATTATTAATTTATTCTGTATTAAAGTATCAGTCATCATTATTAATCACTCGATCATTTTATCATCTAACATTGTAATATTCGTGTGATGTTATAATTATTGATTATAATAATATCATAAATAAGATAGATTAATTTGCATTTTAAAAAAAAAAATAGAATCAATAAAGAACTTATTCCTCTTTCTTTCGACTGCAATCATGATTCGCCATGCAATCATTTCCGGATTATCGATGGAAATTAAAATAACCGTTACTTTGTGCGATAGGATTTTCTACGCTCGTGATATTTTCTCTAGGCGCATAAAATGTCGATATCTAATACGTAGGTACATAAATATCAACGGGGAAAATCGAATTCTGTATTTTATGGAAACATTGCGCTTCGAATGGAAATCCAGTATCGATACTTGCTACTAACAGAATAACGACGTTTGGACTCTATTTTCATAAAGCACTCTACGGGTGTTATCCCGCTTTCCCATCTGTCTTTTCCATTTTTCAAACGCAATACCGGGTCGCATAAACGCAAAAAAACATTCCTCTTTTTCATGTTGTATCGCTGGACATTTACAACTTTGTATTTTTTTTTTTTTTTTTTTTTTTTTTCTCTTTAATTATTATCGAATATCTCGATTTCGTATCTAGAATTTTATATTGCCGAGTACAAAATATTTTATCGAGTTATAAAAATATTATTTAAATATTTCGATGTATAAAAATATCGGTGAAGTTTACAAATATCCGTATCGGCCATCCCATAAATAAGATTTGCAGAAGTTATAAAGAATATAAAGTTTCTTGCAAACTTTTAGAACAAGATCAAATCATGTAATAATTTTTAACGAGCAGTTTCTGTCGAAACACTTAAAATTATCGTGGAACACTTTGAGCTCTTTGAATTTGGCGTTAGTTGTTCATAGATTACCGGTTTCAATATCGATATTAAGCATGAGCAATCCTGATCGCCGTTATTGGGTACCACCAGTCGAACTTGCTCGCTCTGAGACCCACAACTTCGATACCAAAAGCATCGAGTTAACCACCGAAGTCGTATCGAACTTCAAATGGTCGATACCAAACTGTGCTACAGGAAAATCGTAGGTATTCCAAGAGATTATCGAATTTCATTGATTTATGGGCTTCCTGTTTGGGCTCCTACTCCGTGTTTTGCGTAGCATTTTCGTCTGTTTCTTCTCCAATTGAACTGTTTTCCTGATTGCTACCTTCCTCTTTTGTATAATATTGTTGAATCTTGATACAAATTTTATCTGTACAGGTGTTTTCGAAAACGAATTGTTTTTACGATCTATTTAGAAAACTTTGTTAACTCTGTTAAATTATATTTTCAAAATGAGAAAAATGGAATTTCGAATGTAGATCAAATTCGCGATAAATATTCGATTAGAAATTTAATTTTCTTTTCTAATTTTCCAAAATCGATTCAATATGTAATATATATTATTTTGATAATTGTTTTCAAAATTAATTTATAGAAATTATAAATATATTGTTTTTATAGAGTATAAGTAATATTCGTACAATATTTCTTGGAGGATTGATTCTAGAAAAATTCACCAAGATCATGTAATGATTGAAAAGAAGAAATGGATTGTAATCTCTCTATGTTTTTATTTTGATTTTCAATCTATTTATCTCAGAACATAAGAAATGTAAATATGAATTCGCAAATGATTACTTTTTCATCTCAACTTTTATCAGTAAGTATATATCGTGAAAACAAAACAAGAGGAGCAAAGTGTGGTATGAGAGAGTTTCGTTGCTCGGGGAAAACAAAGATACCATCATTTTAAAGATTATAATTCACGCGAAATTAATGAGCCACACACGCGTCTATGTTTTAATCCAGGAATTAGGATTGCACGGTGGAACTTTTGTTTCATTCATGAATTTTTCGATTTTTCGAAGGGATGGGAATCGTGGATGGGAAATGTAACGAAAGTTTCGTTTGTTTATGGAATTGTTTTTCGTTGAATATGGATTCGTCTGAAGGGACTAAAATTGTTTTCTGTACTATAGATTTTGACGCATGACGAATATATATTTTGATGAGGATGTAGTCGTGCATTGTTTGTGTAAATGTTTTTTTTTGGAGGGAGGCTGTGTGTTTGCAGAGGTTTATCAAGTTTCGGGGAATTTTGCTCGAAACGCATAAATCTTGGATATTCGATTAATATCGAACGATTAAAAGAGAGGGAATTTAATTTAATAAAGACAGTTGATTATTTTAAACAGAGCTAGTTACAGAAATTTAATTTCTTGTTACGTTATATAATTATTGTTTGAAGAAGAAACGAATTTATTATACATCATTATCTCGTATATTTAAAAGAAAATTTTTCATTTACCAAATTCTCCATTTATATTTATTTGAAATTGAACTATATCTCGGTATCTCTAAAATTCACAAATATTACAATTAACTTTATTTCATCTCTGATATTTCTACATTCGTAAATCTTTCATCCGAACGAATTAAGACACTGATTAACTCATTCAAAACTATATTTCTTGAAAAACAATCTTCTAAATATAACACTTATCCGACACTCTAAACAATTCTTAAACAAACAATAAACAAAATCTTCCTCGTAATATCTTCAACAACATATTCCCTACAACATATTCGATACCTTAAAAATACACTCTTAAAAATAAAAGAAACTCGTAAGAAATCGATTTAATTACCTTATTCTTTCATGTTGGTGAACAGCCCTTGGCCAGGTGATGCTCTATGTGGACGGTATGAATGGGGTGATGGAACACGGTCAGACGGTCCAGTGGTTATACACGTTAATAGCGAGCCGCTTCCGATTGGTGGTGAAGACCGCGCTCAAGCTTCTGCTTGTGTTCGTCGAATACGTCGAGACGAACAGTCTGTTGCTGGTCAGAGCCGTTAGATCGGTCGATACGTCCAGAGGCATGATACCATGGACGAACGTGATGAAGCTGTTGAAGGATTACGACGCGGCCGACACGGAATTGCTGATATACGCGACGACGTTGGTCAACAAGTGTCTGAACGGTATACCGGATCAGGACACTTATTACGATCAGGTCGACTGTTTGGAGGAGCAAGGGATAGAGGGCATCATCCAGAGGTACATGTCGAAGCAAGGAACCGATCTTGATCTACTAAGGCAATTTCAGATCTACGAGGCGGTGCTGCATCACGAGGATGGGAACGATAGAGGTTCGCCTATTCGCCAGCTGGATGATAATATCAGGTATCGTCACTTAAGTTGTTTAGCTTATCTTGGTCAATTTAGGAAAGTTTGGTTTTAGTGTGAAACGGGGTTTAAATTGAATGTTTCGAGAAGATCATTCGCAATTTTTTAGACAAATGCTTTTTAGAAAATTCAAACGTCTGAAATTTCTGAAAATTCTTCTTATAATGATTGTAAAATATAATAATCTCTATGAGAACAATCTTCAAAATATATCAATAATATTATACACAAGTTCCATTGAACGCATATAAAGATTCATTTAAAGATATCTCATATTCCCTATTCCTATATCGTTAAATTAGAAGACTAAATCCAATCCAGTCAAGATCAATGAATAACAAATATCGAAAACAGATCACAAATATGTAATGTAACCAAGTATTCGATATTCCATGATTAATAATCAAATATTTAATCTAGTAACTGTATATCGCTTAATAAATTTCAACTAAGGAATTGAAACGAGTAGTACATGCCCAACATGGTCGCGCCAAACTTTCCTATTCTATACTTAGTGATACGAGTCAACGACTGAGCGCGCGTCTTATTCGAAATCGTGAAAATAGAAACTCGGTTTGGGATAAAAGCGCACAGTCACCGAGACGCGAACACAATAATTCACTCTGGAGCGTTTCCCTCCCACAGGAAGACGCTGCGAAACCGGAAGTCCCTGGTGGATTCGCACGAACGGCGAAAATCCCGGCGGCACTCGACGGGCACGTCCCCATTGTCGATGTCCTTGAACGCGCGACTAAGTCCACGGCTCAACCACTCGTTGGGTCTAAGCTCTCTGAACAACACGCTAAACTCGAGTTTGCCCGACGACGACGACGAGTCGAGCAGCTCTCAAAGTTCGCAGGGTCATCTAGGCGAGGTTCAACTGAATGGCAGCTACAAGGAGAACAAAGGTGAGATGTCTTCTTTCACGTTGTCACGTTGACTGTATGCGCTGTCCAAAGATGGATCGAATTTTTCTTTTTTTATTAAATTTGTTATTTTAGATATAATTTTGTTATAGATAAAATATCTCGTGTATTTTGTGTAAAGAAGAAATAGAAATAGATAAATCTTGCATTTCAATAAAATAACATAATATTCGATTAATCTTTGAGATGTGATGTTAATATCATTATTTTGAACAACTCTTCTCTAATTATCAATAGTTTTTAATCGAATAAAAAAATCCATCCATTAATTTTTTTCTTTCATTATTTAAACTTAATTTAATTTAACCTATAATCTATCATCAATTTCCCTTTTTTATTGGTAGATAATATATTAAATTATATAGGAATGTAATTGTTATTAAACGAACAAAGTTTTAATACGTCAGTTGAACTAATTTACTCCAATATGTTAAATAATTCATGCTACAATGTACGAAGAGTAGGATAAACCTAACCTAATCTAATCCAACCATTAATTTTTCATCTTCGTTGCTTAGATTAAGTTATCATTATACAATTTATATTAGAAATACATTCACACTCCTAGAAACAAAAGAAAAGTTGTTCAAAACAATGATCTTAACAACACATACATTCTTCGATCTTAAAAAATTCTTTAACCCTTGAGCTGAGTCTACTTAACTCCCTAACATACATAAATAACACTTAATCTTAACACAACTCGAATATAAATAAACAAAATAATACCCCGAATCTTATTTATCGACAATTCGAGGATATAGAATCGCAATTTTTACACTAACAATCGTCGTATCCTAATCTTCTCCCCGAATCCCGAAACCAAAAACACGTTTTCACTTTCGCCCACAGAGCGTGTACGGAGGGTATATACGTCGCAGATCCGCTCGTTAACGATTCGACCGCGCGATGAATACGAACTTCGACGCCCACGAGCGGCGATTTCCGCGTTAACGGATCGTCCCTCTCTCGGGAGAGAGACCTTGCGGTTTCCCAGTTCCCCCGCGCGTTCCGTTGCGGATGCAGCACGCGGCGAATGCGAACTGCCCGCTCGTGGCCCGAGCGAAAAGCGTAGTTTCGCTGGGATAGGGGGGAGGCCGTGATCGAGCACGAACAACCCGTCGCGGAAAACAGTCGATCAGGTTGTTGATCATGGTCAAGTGCGCGGCGTGAACTCGGCGAACCGGAAACCGGAGTGTCGATGTCGGGGATCGAGCGGTGTCGAGATGATGATCGAGCTCTCGTCCCCGTCCTTTGTTTACTTGGGTTTATCGTATTGTTATTGTTCGAGGAGATTATTCGATCGTCGCTCATTCGCGTACGAATCTTCGTCTCGATCGATTCGGATTCTTCGCACTTTGGTGTTGGGAAAGGAAATAAGATTGGCGTGTAAGTTGTCAATCTTTGCATCGTCGTCTCTTGTTCAGTTTCGATTTAGAAATTATATTAAGATAGTTGGATGGTTTACGAAAATGTTATTATTATGGTATATGGTATTCAATATTCAAAATGAAGTTATATTATTGATTTGTAAAGCTCTATAGGGAGAATGCTAATTTTATTTCGTACACCGTATTTTGCCATTCATTATTCATCGCATTATTGAAATTCACAGTTGAAATATTACAATTTATCATCCTGATTGATCACCAAGAAGTAATGCTTCTCCCGTTTCCCGTGAAAAATATTATTCATTCTTACCTTTTGCTTTATGAAATATTTGAAGAAAGAAATTCAGACGATAATTTCAACCCTAGAAACATAATTTCTTTTTCATTTAATAATAACAAACTATTAAACCTCCTATCCTCTATCTATATATATAACACGAAATAAAACTCGAATTTCGAACGGTGTAAATTTACCGATTTCACTGAAATTCACTCCGTCGTTTCTGTCCATCCACGAAATAACGATCAGGACCGGAATATTCCAATAATCCTGTCCCAAATATCTCTTTCCCTCGCAACGCGAACGAATCGAATAAACGAGGATACGAGATAGATCGATCGGTATAAATTCGACGAAATAATTGATAGGCGCGGCGTATATTTTTGTTTCGTGAACCGCGTAGAAACGACACGCGCGTGACGAGGATTTATCGCGAGTGTCGTCGGGGGACGTTTTCGACCGGGCGATAAATCAAAATGAAAGTTGGCCGATCGCGCGATTCTGTGGGGGATGAAAACGATAAGCAGGGTCGGTGTGCCGCTCAACCAAATCGGTTAAATAGTAAATTATTGTTCACGAAAGTGATGGGGCGAGAGTTGTCGAAAGAAGTTGTTGTAAGAAAGAAGTGACGTATATCGCCGGTTTCAGTGGACGTTGGCGTGACACCGGCGTTGAGACGTCGAAGGGAACGAGCCGAGAGGCAGAGGAGCTTTATCAGGGAGCAGCAGGAAGCCACGGCGAACATGCGAGCATCCGTGGTGCCCTCGGACGATCAGGAAAGTGAGTAATTGATTATTGGAGAGGAATTGCGTTGGGATTAGAATTTTTGGAATAAATTTTATTCCAAATGCTTTGTCGTTTATTTTTTAAGAAGTCAATCTTAGTAGACTTTGAGATTTTGTAGGTGTAGAAGGATCGTGCATGAATCACTTTTCACGCGAAACGTAGTCGATTTCGGTCATTTGATTGTGCAATTTTTTTTTGTAACGAATTAGATCGAAACATCTTGGAAATCTTGAAAGCATTTGCTATGATTTTAGTTAATACTATTTAATTGTAGAGATAAAATTTTTCAAATTTCATGAAAAATGAGAGAATTAATGTTCTACAAAAACATAAATCGGAAATTTTTATATTTATATTTGGTCTCTAGAATCCGAAAGCGTTCCACGAATATATTAACACCCTGAGCGCACATAACTGAGCTACTCCCTCCACGCAATTCCAACCTAATCATCTAATCAAATAATAATAGCAACCATAGGGAGTAATAAGTTAATTAATCACGAACAAATGAACGGATTTCCCGTTGAACGAAGGTCCCTACGCGACGAACGGGCTGCGTTACACGAACGGCACGTCGTACGAAAGAAATGCGGACTCGCCGTCGAATAAGTTGTCCAGGACGAACAGCAGGAAGGATTTGACGCCTCTGATGAACGCCGCGAACAAGCTCGACTCCGAGGAGAAGAAGCCTTGGTACGGGAAGAGCCCGGACGAGGGTGTCGAGTGCGACGAGGGTAATCACACCGACGAGGACGAGGATCGTCGAGTGGTTCTACAATTGAAGAGGGAAGGGACCGTGAAGGATCTCACGCAAAAGTTGGCCGCTCAAAATCTTATACCGAGCAGCCCCGTCGAGGAGAAGGTTTCCAGGTAATTTTAAACGTGACCTTCCATTTTCCATGAAAATTTGTGTAATGAAAAAAACGTAAAATATTACGATAGGATGAATATATCGATAGGATGAAATGTAACAAATCTCGATTCCATTCTCTGTAATTGTTCAATTTCTTCGCGCGTATCCGTTCAATTCACGAGTAAAAAATATTGATGATGGGAAAAAATTAAATTTCATTACAATTATACAATATTATATTAGGGATAAAAATTTTATCCATGCAATTAACAATTAACAATTGAGTTATTCAGCGATAAGTCATCGACAAACGTTCATTTTTACCCTCCAATCACGATCATTCTTCATCCCTCCCTCCATAGGATAGGGGACATGAGCGGACTGATCTCGAAGGCGAAGGAGGGTCTCGCCAAGTCCAAGTCGAAGGCGGACGTGTTGAAGTCACCGACCGGGGACAATCTGCCCGCGAAACCTCAAGAAGCGAAGAAATCCGAGAACGAGTTGCACTGGGAGGAGCTGGTTAAGAAACTGAAACGGCCTCTCGAGCTCTGCGACCTCGACTTCACCGATCTGAATTCGGACGACGAGGTCGACGTCCTTGGCCCCGTGAACGTGACCAACGGGGTGCCTCCACCCCCACCGCCCATGGTGCCGACCCCAGGCGGCGCGCGGGCACCACCCCCGCCCCCCTTGGGGGCGAGACTACCGCCGCCCGTGCCCCAAGCGCCTCCACCGTTGTTCGGCGTGAATCTCAAGTCGCCAAGGTCGCCGACCGCGACCGATAATACGCCGAAGAGCCCGCCACCGGCGTTCACGAAGAAGAGCAAGAAGACGGTGAAGCTGTTCTGGAAGGAGGTGAGGGATGACCCGATCATATTGTCCAGGCTCGACAAGAACAAGATGATATGGGACGAATTGTCGCCTGTACCTGTCGACACGCAGAAGCTCGAGCACCTGTTCGAGAGCCGCGCCAAGGATCTCATCACGAAGGTGAGCAAGCTCTACGTGCTACTTTAAAGCTTAGCGCGTTTTCCTCTTTCCTTGGGAGAGCTTGTTTTCTTTTGGGGATCTTCTTTGGGTTTCCTCGATGAGAAATATTCTAAACGTTCTTCTTCCTCGTGGATGATACGTGTTAGGGTGGTTTGTTAGGCGGTTCGTGGGTTTTTCAGCTGGTATAGCGTTAGAGTGTTTAGTTTTGATGATGAAAGAGGAAATGGTTGGAAATTTGGAATAGATTATATTAGAGAGTAGTAGTATGTAGTAGTTCTAAATTCGATATAATTTAATTGGTTAATATTAAAAGTAGATTCTTCATTGCATTCTGTTGCTCTTTTGTAAATATTTCTATTTTTTTAAAGCGATACTTGGTGTATTTAAATATAACCAAGTAAGATTTCTTTAAAAATAAATTCTTTTGAAGTAATAGTAAATTGTTACAGAATCATGGATCAAATATTCTTTCGATAATTTCTCTTGTTTCATTCATTCTTATTTTATATATCTACTTCTGAAATAATTGTATTGTAGATATATAACAGGACAAATTATATTCGTATAGCGAAAGAATGATAGCATTTAATAGGTATCAATTCTAAAAACAAAATGATTAAAGAAATCCTTTTCTATGGAGAAATAGAAGTATATAGTACATAAAGTTTTTCTCGAGCAAAAAAATAATTGAATTTCCATCGAGCTTCAAAACATAACTCACATTTCAACATTTATCTTAAACGGTTCGTTCTCCATATTGTTGTCCATGGAATTCTATCTGCAATACCATTCTTTGTCCCCCCAATGGTGGTTTCTCAAAATTCTATCGCGAGTCGGGCATCAGACAGGAAATTTAATTACAGGGGCGGGTGTTCGTGGAAAAAGCGACGACACCTTGCCAACATCCCATGAATCTCTCCGCTTTTTCGTTTCGTTCTGCCTCGACGACGTTAGTCATTCCCTGACACCCGATTCTTAAAGTACACGTTGGAAAGGGGTGAACGCACGGCATCCACCCGCGGTTGTCTCTGCCGCGAGAAAGCTTTTCATCGCGAGGAAATTCCAGAGGCAACCTATCCACAATCCAGAATACACAAAGCTACGTGGCTGGTTAACCGGGTGGATGGTTCGGGCTCGGTTAAAGGGGATGAACTGTTTGAAGGGAAGGAATCGTCGCTTGATATTTGGTTTACAGATTCTCTTGTTCGGCGAATTTTCGATTTTCGAGATCGTTGAAGATAGCTTTTTGAGACGCCACTTGATCTTTGAGTAAAAACTTTGATTCTTTTGTTTGGAGAATTTTTTTATTTTGAAGGTTGATGAAGTAGTTGATGTGTAACATAAAAACTATTAAGCTTAAAAACTATTAATTGAGACAGAGTTTTATAATTTATAAAATATGAAACTCACAATATTTTAGCCACGATCATATAATACATCAACCCTCAACTTCATAAAAATTACATTATCACGTAAGAAACCAAAGACACCACTAAATTACACTTAACGTTTCCAACCCTAATCCAACCCTCGCGACATTTGCCATAACTCAACACAACGACACATCCTCTCATCCACGCCTCGGTATCGATTCCATCGAAGCCAGTTACATTCCCAACCAGCGTTTAACAATCGAACGGACAGATAACGCGACAGGGAACGCGCATCGGCTTCTCTGGATACCTTTGACACGGATTACGCGTTTAATCCGACGCCGTTTGCAACAGGGTTACTCTCCGCCTCTCCCTTAAACCGTTTCACCCTAAACGGCTTTATTTTCGATCGCGCACAGAGGAACTGTGGCACAGAAGGGGGGAAGGGGTGATCGTTTGTCGCGATACCGCGGAATTCTCGATCCCTAAGGGGGCCTTTACACGAAAGGGTAAGGAAGGGAGGAGAAAAAAACGTTTACCGAAGGTTTAAGAGGATAAAAATCCCACTGCTCATTTTTATTCCTTTCTTTACCCTTTCGTTTATCATTTTTATGCGTTAAATCAATTGATTTTTATTTGAACGGGATTGAACGGGATTTCCGACGATAATAGTAGTATCAGATTGAATATTGTGAATGGCTAAAAAATTTTTAAATATCTTCTGTAATCTTTTTTGTAGAAATTGAAAATAAGTGCGTATATTTTTACATTGAAAAGATAATTGCAAAATTGATGTAATTGTAATGAGAATTTAACAAATTTTTAAAATTCTTTTAAAAGATTAAAGTCATTATATATTATATAATATTATTTGATATTCAGCCACTTCAACAGTGCTGACATTGTTTGCATTGCAGAGGGATGGAAGTTTCTCAGAAATACTTCGGAGCTTTATTCTGTCTGGCTTCCGTTTTTCTTCGAACTTTTCGCGAAGGAAAGTAAAAAATATTGCGCTACATAATCAGCTACAAATGTCAACGAGCTTAAAAAATTTCAGTTTCTACTTTCTTTTCATTCTTTATTATTCCATTTCCGGTTTCTTTTCTAAAAACAATATTTTTATTTTTCTTATTTTTCACGAATAACATATCTTTGAATTTTAAATTTCGATCCTTACAAAATAAACTTATACTTGATTGAACAATTGTTTTAGAATAAAATGTAGTGGAATTTTATTTCAACAAAAAATAATCCCTTTATATAGTAGATTTTCATAAGTAGATATTTTCATAAATATATGATTCTTTATCAAAAAGCCAAATGTAGAATATTTTTATAGCCTGAATTTTTATTGTTAAATTTCAACAAGTTTTAAATTAAGAAAGAAATTTCATTTAAATTTTAATAAAAGTAATCCCCTGGTGATTAAAATTATATAACATTCGAGATTAAATCAATAACAGATATATATCAAATAATAGCTTTAAATAAATCCAGTTGAATTTGAAAATCTTTCGACAGAAAAATCAACAATATCAAGTTTAATATTAATTAAAAAAGTATCCGAAAATCCTTTTATCCTTTGTTGAAATAAAAATTCAAACAACAAATTATTTCGCCAATTTCGTTTCGAAAATATCTCAATCACATATCATTATGCATAATTTCCTTGAATATGAATACACGAAATATTCCACCAGAAAAAATTTATCATTCAAACGTACGTGATATTTATTATACCATTAATAAAAATGTCGTAGCACACGTAGTGAAAAAACACACATTTGACGTGGAATGCACAATTTATTAAAAACATACGACCGCGTATTCAAAACAATTTATTAAATTCACGTGCTTTTTTCCATAAAAAGATAAGCTTTTATCCGAATTTCGCGTTTTTCGAGTTTCGTCGAATAAATTTCATCGTACGAATGATATCGCGTATTTCCACCCTTTGCAAATCCTTTCGTTCGAATCGCGAGAAGCGGGTAAATTTTCCGGCAAATAGGGGCACGGATGTGGAAGGCGTGTGAGTACAAAATCGGTAATACCTCATATAAAATTATTATTCCTTATCGGAATGGTGGGTAATGACGCGAGATACTCGTATTTCCACGTGGTTGCATTGAATTCATGCCTCTATGCTCGTTTTAATTAATTTCACGGTTGATGAACTTATGGTGTTTGAGAGGATAATAAATAAGAAGTATATGTATCGTTTTTCTTCTCTCCTTATTTATCTTATTCCTATGATTTTTAAATATTTTTTGATGAAATGGTTAAGGATTGATTTTATATAATTTTATATAATTTTGATATAATGAAATATCGTTATATTAAATTGTCGATTTATTAGAATTCATATAATTTTTATCAATATATTTTTGAGTGGAAAAATAACATATTGTAGAATTTTATTTAAAATTATTTTTTATTAACTCTGATCGTATTACTTATCTGTAATTGAATTTCATTTTTGATTTGCAATGTTCGATATTGCAACAAGCATTTCATAACGCAATATAAAACAGAAGTAGATATTCAAAAAAGTAGACATACATATCCATATAGAAATAGATATTCCTTTCCTACGTTCAATATGTAGAAAATATCTTCAGATATGCTAATTCAAAATGCTTGTATTGCAGAACCAAATCATTCTTGAAATCGATAAATTGAATTCATTCAACAATTCCAAACGTATAATTTTCCAAGATCTTGTTCATCTTTCCTCGATATTTGAATAGAGTCACACCACGATATCAATGATGAATATCAACCACGCGTTATAATTTCTCTATCGCGACAAATATCGAATAATAACCGTATCCATTCACCCCGTCTCGAGTATTCACCCCCTCCCAACCCGAGTAAATTATTCTTCGCCAATGATCGGCCAAAGATTCCACGCGAACTAGCGAGCTGTCGTTAATTGCTGGCGTAATTACACGCCGGGTTTATCGGGTTTGCGTTTTGAATCGCGTCTCGAGCCAATGGACACGGCTGCATAACGCGACGTCGCTTCTTCAGACGCAGCCCATTCTCCCCTTCGTTCCTCATCCGCCCTTTCCTTTTGCCCTCTCTATGCCTTTCCTCCCTCCAAGTACCGGCTTCTTTGAACTTTTACATCCACCTCGCGGAGTCCGGCGATAATTAGTGGCGGGTAAAGAGTCGGTCGAGACTTCCTCCTCGTCAAGGAAGAAGAGAGGGGAGAGGGTTGAAAGAGAGGACGTGAACCGGGTAAAAAATTATGGGATGCTGAAAGATTGGGAAGAAGTAATAAGTTTTCTGGAGAAGTGGAGGAATCCAAGATGTGGTTCACTGGGTTAGATTTATTTTTTTTGTTTGTTTGTTTGTAAAGGATAATTTAACGAAGCTCGATGGTAATTTAACGTAGAGTGTAATGATAAATATCAGGTGTGAATTAAGAGTTGAATATTTTAATGAAGCTCCATGAACATGGAAAATAACACGAGTAAATTAATGATGATAATTATGAATCAATAATTATTTGTGATTGGTTCTTTTGATAAATACCATTCTTTCGATAATAATAATTAATTTCATTTGTGCAAGATTCGCTAATTTGATTCCTTGATAGTTTAGACTTAGACTTAGGAAGGTAGAGAAGATGAGGGGAGAGTAGTAGTTTTATAAATTACATACCTATGGGAAATATTTCAGGTTAAATATTTGCAAAGATAAAATTCCCCAGCTGGGAAATAAAGTCGAATGTGCATTACATATATCTAAGAATTCGCGGTAAAAATGCATTAACGGATGAGATTCTTATCAATTTTTTTCACTGTCTAAAAAAATTATTAGAGGATAGTATATGAAAATTATTCCATTTTAATAAGATCTATTAAAGATTCTCTGAACGAGAAAAAAATTTAATTTTCAAATTATTTCCACGTTTAATTTACAAATGGTTCAACATTGTTCGTTAAAAAGAAAGAAAATTAATAACAATCTATAAGATTGTTCTATAATCTTTATGCTTATATTATGTTAAACCAGGAACGATTTCACGAGACGATCATGCACATGAACGATTACGATCTTTATACGATATTACAAGCTCTGTTAGTTTGATAAAGTAACTTTAACAATAACATATCGTATAAATTAATACCGTCTGCAGCAATAATGAAATCCCGTGGTAATGATCGCGAATGATAATGATAATAATAATAATAATAATAATAATAATAATAATAATAATAATAATAATCAAAATCATAATCATAATAATACGGCGAATAGTGGTTGGGTGGTGGTGATGGTGGTTTAATGCAATACGACTAATCTTTTCTTGTATTATTTGCAATATTCTTGGTGCTCGCACGAAAAATGAACGAAATGGCATGCTGGAATTTTACAGGAGGTGAGTCCTAATTTCTTAACTTCACTTAACGTCGGTTTTTGCTAACTCCACTTTGGCTTTGCATGCTCTCTCATTTTTCTTGTTCCTCTTTTTACCTTGTTTTTCTCTATATACAGAGAGACAGAGCGACCCAGGTCCATTTTTACGAAATTCGGTTAGAAATTAATTATTCTGCTGGTTGTTTTTTTCAAAATAATACATACGTGCCTATTTTTATTCGTTACATTTTAAATAAGAAAAATTTAACGATATGAAATTGGAATTTTAAATAGTTAATATATTTTATATTTTTATATAGATTAAATTAATTCATTCATATGGTAATAGAAAAAGTACGATCAATTATAAAAGTGTTTGTGCATTTGAAAAAATCATTTTTAGATAAAATTTTTCAATATTTTAAAAGTTTGATTTAAAAAGTAAAAGGGAAAAAAAATATACTATTCTCTGCTCTTTTTATAAAAAGATTTCAATTACTAGCTCTTTTCATTATTTTTTACAAAATTTTCAAAAGTTACAATTACATTATTTTTACACATGTAGTATATTTGTATAAAAGTGGATTTTTTTATATGACATACTAACACTTTTTTGAAATTCCCAACTCTGATCACCAATTTTAACACGTTTCACAATCACTTTTTATTAATTTACCATAAAATTAATCAATTTCATACAAAAAAGAATGCAATCACTACAGTTTTTCTGTTCAACTGACGAATAACAAAACAAAAAAAAACAAGCTTCGGTTACTCTGACTCTCAAATACACGTAGCCACGTTTTTATTTTTTTTTTTTTTATTTTTTTTTATTTTTATTTTTTAATTCATGCTTGGTATTAATGAGCGACGAATGCAAATTCATTTACACGTTACTCGATTTACTAAAACAAAATTTATCCATTGTATAAACAATCCTGCGCAGATTGTTCACTGCAAATCATTAATGGCTTTCCTTCCAGAGATATTTTTCAAGTGATTAATCTCGGTTGCCTTTGCATCGCTTTGCCTCTTTTAATTATAATGCATTTTTTCGATTTTCCTCTTTTGCGTACCTTTGTTTACCCTTCGTAACAGTAACCAGTTTACTTTGAACTCATTCTGCTAATTTTGTTTTTGCTGATAGCGCGCTATTATTTTTTTTTTTTTTTTTAGATCTTACTTATCGATACGCAATCTCCATCTTGCTTCCATTTCACCTTTTCTTGGCAAACAAATATTTGCTCGATTGTTAATATGTAAAGTGGTACAAGTAGAGGTATAATTAGAGAATGATTCCATGCAAAAGAGAAGAATAATATTTTTTTGCCTGAAGCTTCGTTTTCGAGTTAAAAATATTGTTTCTCGTAAATTACCAATAAATTATTGATAGAAAGTTATTTTACGTGTGAAAAAAAACGAAAATCGATAAAAATATTTATCCTTATTTTCGCGTAGAATAATAGTTAATTTATATTTAATCGAGAATTGTATTCATTTGTAAATTAATTCTTCGAATTTGATTGAATTCGAAAATGAAGCCTTAAGACAAAATTTTATTCTTATTTTTTACATATAGAATCATTCTTTATTCGCTTATATTATTCTTTCTAAGACATCCTTACGTACTTATCACATTCCTCTTTCTTGTTCCTTTTCGAATACTTCGTGCACGGTGTTCAATTCCACGATTTTGAGTGTTCAAGTATCATGAAATCATTATTTAAATTGTTCCAAATAAAAATCATTGTCTTCTTATTCGACTAATTGATTATTTTTTGTCGTCGAATAGAAACAACAAGAGATGAACAAGAACAAGGAGATCATCGTGCTGGACCATAAACGATCGAATGCTATCAACATCGGGATGACCAAGTTACCTCCACCGAGGTCGATTAAGACAGCTATTTTGAAAATGGACGCTACGATTATGAACAGGGAGGGTATCGAGGTGAGATTACGAGAAAAAGATGATTTTCTTTAATTTTTAATAAAATTCGATATATATATAAATAATAATGCATTATGAAATCAAATATTAGCGATTGAGCTGAAGACAAATCAAATATTAATTTCACGATAGACGAAATTTTAATTAGATTTTACTAATCCAATTCACGATTAAATGAATGATAAGTGAATTTAATGATGAATTCCAATGATTAAATGCCAACTTTGATAATTAATCATTATTATACGATAATTAAATAAAACTTTAATCGTTAATTACAATTGATAATGAAATATTCCACAGAAGTTAAACTGATCAATATATTTCTGTATATACACAGTATCAAAATATCTATTATACAAATTAAATAATGTCTAGAACTTCAAACTATCGATATTAATTAATAAAACGATCAGTTTATCTTCCAAATAATTTTAATCGCAATTACTAATTATTATATTTTCCAAGCTAAAAATATTCTGACATTTTCCCGTTTATTTCTTCATTTCTTCCCCAAAATAAGATATTTGTCCCGATTTCGTTCAGTATCAATATTATACTTATTGCAAAATATCAAAATATCCTTGGTTTACGGTAGACCCCATGATTCAGTTCAAACACACACGTACGCTCTGTTTTCGAGAATTTTTCTAATTTCTCTAATTTCTTCTTCATTTCTCTTCTTCGTTCGTTTCCTGTCCTTTTCTCCCCCGGATCTTCCCTTGATTCGAAACAGAAACTATTGACGATGCTGCCAACCGAGGAGGAGAGGTCTAGGATACAAGAGGCGCAGGCCGCCAATCCTGACCTACCTTTGGGATCGGCCGAGCAGTTCCTTCTAACTTTGGCCTCCATCTCGGAGTTGCCCGCCAGGCTGAAACTTTGGGCGTTTAAACTGGACTTTGAGAATTCGGAAAAGGTAAGTATCTTTCTCTCGATTGTTTATATCGATAATGGCACGGCTGATTAATTCACAAGTTATCAGCAATTTTTTCCCTCTTTCTCACCAACAGATTATTTTAACGTTTACGTTAATTTTTATGAACGGAAGGGATATCTCAGATATCGTTCTCAATTTCAAAAAATAAATTTCTTTACAGTTTTATTTCGTTTCGTTATCTATTATTAAATTATTTTAATCTATAAGCACGAAGCGATGAAGTCTCATTTCATTATTTAATATCAGTCTTCTATTCCAATGTTATAAAGATTAAAAATAATCACTATAGATTACTGTAATAAAATAAGGTAAACGTTAAATAAAATCTTAACGATTGCTAATGTAAAAGATCTTCAAATTTACGCGATACCAATCCCACCTGCAAAACATTCAAACCTCTATAATTAATCCTACTAATATATACCTACTGGATCCCGGTAATCTCATTATCGTATCGAATACGCTTGAAATTTAGCTTGGCGGAATAATTAGAGGATGCATAGATGCAATGATTAGCGAGGAGACAAATATGAATCGTTCGATCGTATGGCCTCGATTCGTCGAATCCAGTCACGAGACGGCACGTGTGGACGTAAATACATTTCGTATACCGGAGAAGCCGGCTAACATTTCGAATGCAAATTCCATTAAGCGTCGTCGAATACGAATGCGTCGTAATAGCGTTCGAATTGGCCCGTTATTTCTCACGAATCTCGTCTCGAATTCCGTGGAGATAGTCGTGGGGCCGCGACGAGGAAAAACGCGTGGTATGCCGGGAAGGAAGTCGCGGGAAGAACGTTCCCCGCATAATCGCGTGATTTCTTCGCTGGGAACACAGGTGAATTCCGATACACGTTGAACGTATCCCTCGTTGGGAAAATCGCAGGGTGGCAAGGTCCGAGTCGCACCTTGATCGCGAAATTTTTCTCCTTATTAAGATCACGCTCGTGAAAATATGCCAGAGCAGAAATTTTTCTAATTTGATTTTTGAAAGGATTCTTGATTTTTGAAAATTGTGTACACACGTGTGTTAATATATATTCGCGAGGATTAATTCTAGATAATGTTTTCACTAACTTTTGCGTTTAATTTTTAAGATCGTGCTTTTAAAAGTGTTTCAGGAATTATACAGTATTAATATTGAGTATATGGAGTAATTTCTTTTTCGAGGGTAAATCTCCTTTGAAAGTAGACTTCTTTTTGTTCGTGATTTAAAATATATGTTTTAAAATATAATTTTATTATTACAATATAGAATTAAAAACACTTATTCCTCGAATAATATTTGATCATTTGCCTTTTTTACATAATGAGGATATCTTCAAAGTAACGGTACACATCACGCGTTGGAAATTTTATTATAAGAAAAGAAAGGAAGAAAAAAGAAAAAAAGAAAGAAAGAATGGAAAAGTATGCAAGAGGCTTACGGTTTGACGAAAATGGAACCGCAGACGAGACGCGACGAGGCAGGCGGCGTGCCGGAGAGAACTCGAAAGAAATAATCGCGAACCACCTTTGTGACTTCAGGAAATTGCGGACCCTTTGATGGATCTGAAGCAGGGAATGGAGACCCTGCGAGTGAATAAAACGTTCCGCGGGATTCTGAGCACGCTCCTTTCGATCGGGATATTCCTCAACGGAAATGAGGTAGGTATTGAATGCCAGCCAAATGATATCCGCTTAATCCGTCAGTTGGAGTCACTGGTTCGCGTGGAATCGATATCCGTCGATAATTTTCATGTAACCATTGATCGATGATTTAAAGGAAAGGGAAAAAGCGTCGAGTTGAACAATTTTCTCCATAAACTGTATTAAGATAACTTCATTATCTGGATTATTTTCTTGTCAGATGATTACCTTCTTTCGTGGTTTAAACCGTTTCAAACGATCAGATATATGCAAAAGTGTTTGGATATTCCAAAGAATCAGAAGTTTGTATGTACGAAAGATGTTTAACTCGATCTACAATTTCTATCGATCCTCGTATATTGTATACGAGAATCTAACTAGAGATATATGAAAATAAAAATTTGTATTTGGAGCTAAACCGAGTAAATCAATTTTAAAAATTTTATCGAATATGAATACGAATCAGTGATCTATGGGACGTTATTCTATCTGTGGAAATAAATGAAAAACTGTGGAATAAAATTTGTTTATTTAAATTTTCGTTTTAAAGAAAATTGGGTTAAAAAATGTTCAGTTAAAAATTAGTTGAATACGTGTAGGGAAAATTTTCAAATTTGATTTTCTCGATGACCAGTAACAAATTTTCACGTTTATTTTAAAAATTTTGAAAATTTCTTTTCAACATATGACATCCTAAATATAATATTGAAATAAAATTGAAATAAAAAAGAGTAATGATTTTTAAAATTATATTATAACGTTGCTGCATTTATCAAAAAAAAAAAAACTCTTAAAGTTTTGGATAAAATTTCCATTTTAAATATATGTTGTGCTAATGTGATTTCTTTCTACCATGTCTTTTAACTCATTCATACGTAACACGAATTTTTCTTTTATCAATAAATCCAAAATCACATTCTTACAACACAATCTTACTGTAGCATGATTAATTTGTTGAAATTTCGAATTGATACGAAATCAGAAGATCGATGGAAATATTCGTGCTCAACTCATATCATTTCAAAAGAAATTATTCTTTTCTTTTTATGGCTTCTAGCCATATGAAACGTATGTATAAATATAAGTAATTTTTTTTATGGATTATAAATCCGTTATGTAAAGTATAAAAACGATGCACTCTCACGAATATTCGTGCCGAATGTGTACTTTCCAGTTCTATTTATTATCTTGGACGATTCCTTTCCACTCGTCGCTTTCGTTTGAATATATTAACAGTCCTAGTTCTTCGAATACCCTGGACGACTAATCGTTTCTTATCACCCCGCTCTCGACCATGTTTTTATACGGCACGCTCGTTCATCGAAATTGTCGCGTGGTCGGCCAGTTCACGCGAATCTGACTCCCTCCTCGCGTTTCACAGTAAATTAACGGAGGGAAATTATGAGTGGTAAAAATTATGGAACCCGTTGCATGAATTTGAGAACCGTCATTACGCGAATAACATGGCTTTAATCGGGGTAATATTAGAATAAAAAATTCGCAGAAAGTTGATAATTCGAAATATTATGCGGTGAAATAAATATTCATAAAGAGAATATTTGATAATTTCTCGTTCGTGAAGTGAAAGTAAACAAGAGTGAGTAAGAATAAAATATTAAAAATGATATGTCGCAGAGTATTTATTTCCGTATCAAAGTGATTTATGAGGGAAATGAAAATTTTTATACGTGGAAAGAAAAAGTATTTTTTTAAAATTTGATTTATGATATTAACGTTTAACGTTCAGAGAAGAAGTTATATCTTTTTAAATTATAATTTTAATGCAGTTTCAATTATGAAGTTTTAGTTGATAAATTTTCGTTAAAGGAATCTGATTAACGAAACAGCATGATAAAACAAATTTTTCAACTTTAAGCTAGCTTCGTGTTCAATTGGATCGTAACATTTAAAAATTTTATAATCAATTGCATATCCACTTGTCAAGGTACGGAATTCCCTTTCGACTTTGAAATAAACTAGTCACAAACGTCCGCATTGATTAGTAGTTACACTTTGATTTTCGAAGCGAAAAATCGTAAATTAATTATCGTGCTTCCTATCCCAACTGCACTCGTACTTTAACTTTGCGCTTTGAAATCGATCCAACATTTTATTTTCTACGATTTAAATTATTCAGTCTAGTGTAAATTAATGATGACCGCGATTTATTCGACAATAATTTTGATATAAATATTTGTACGAATAATATTTGTACAAATGTATCGCTTATATAAATTTATTAAATTCCATTGATCAATTAAAATCAATTCGTCATATTCGAGATAATAATATTTCTACAAACATTACTTATATAAATTTCAAATTTGATTGTTAAATTTGATTAATCGTAATAATATAGCCCAATAGTATAATAATAATAATTTTACCTGTTCCCTTTTATTTTCCCAAAAATATAATTTATTCGAATTTAGACGTATTTTTCATTAAATTTTTCAAAACGTATCACGATCATCTTAATCTTCCTTCAATAGAACGATTATAGAAATAAAAACAATCTATTTTAATCAAAAATCAAAAAAATAAATACATTACTTGGATAATTAAAGAAACTCGTTATTTCAAAATTCCGTCCACGCTTTTTCATTGATTTGTAATAAAAGCCTTTCGCGAGTTTAAGCATAAAAAGGGGGGGGAAAAAAAAAAATAATCGCGCATCCACTCGTCTCTCCGTGTATCGCTCGTCAAAGAGACGCTCGAAAAAAAGAAAAAAATAGAAAGAAAAGCAGCGATTCGAAAGGAGGAAGCAACGGGTGGAATCGAATATGCCGCGCTCGTCGTGTCAGAGTGACACAGACGACATCGATTCCGGGTTTTCACGGCAATCACGTTACACGCGAAAGTGGCCAGAAGCGTGGAGTGGAAATCCCGAAACGGTGGAAGTTAGCCGGCGCAACGTTGAAACGTCGCCACGGTCTTTTTCAGGTGAAGGGCTTTCAGCTGGAATACCTCGCCAAAGTACCTGAAGTGAAGGATACGGTTCACAAGCACTCGTTGCTTCATCACCTTTGCCACATGGTGATGGAGAAGTTTCCGGATTCCACGGATCTCTATTCCGAGGTGAGAGCGAGCAGCTTACTTCCGCGCCGAAGGAGCGGATAAAACTTTACTAGGCTAGGAACCGAATAACCGTCCGCCATATTTGCGAAATCGCGGATAGGGAAACGACTTCCTCTCGCCAGTTTGAGAAAAATGATTGATGAAATTGTGCGAAGTCGAGGACTTCCGGTTTTTTATTTTTAATTCAGAAAGTAATTTTCAATTGGATTTGTTAGTGTTTCGATCAAAATGTATATTTTTATGTACAGGAGTGGAGGAAAGTTTAAGAATCGAATAGTACTTTTATGTATTGATTATCGTACGTATATTGAATCTGGAAATAGATTGAATTAAATTAGCAAGCTTTTGAAATTTTTTAATTAGATTTTTATTTTTGAAAACATATTGTATTTCGATTCGCAAATAATTATAGTATATCTTTGTATCTATTTTTTTTCAACAACGAAAATTATTGAATTAAGAATCGATGACGCAAAATTTAGAATTTGATAATTAAGTCTTGCCATTTAGTCGTTTGAAGATAATCTTCAAAGATTAGATCGCGTATATCAATTCAAAGTATTAGTGCCAGTAGAAAACCGTGATCAAAGAGATTTTCGAATTTTGTTCAGATTGGAGCAGTGACAAGAGCTTCGAAAATCGACTTCGACGAGCTTGCAGCGAACATTGGGAAGTTGGAGAGCGAGTGCAAGGCATCGTGGGATCATCTGAAGCTCATCGCGAAGCACGATGGCTCCACGATGATGAAAGTCAAGTAAGTATCAAACTCAAAATATATAGTGTACCAGCGAGATGGATTCGATTTCTCGTAATTTCTTCGAACTTTGTTACGCGAAGTTTCTCCCGCGAACTTTTGAAATTTTCCAAAGATCCATTCAATGTTCGACGTAAACCTGCGACAGATTTTTTTTTTTCCGCGATGAAACTGGCTCTGTTCCAAATGGCACCACCATTAATTACAGAAAACGTATTTCTTCCTTCCAAGCTCGTACTTCTTTCTCGACCTCTTTTAACTTCTCTCCTTTTTTCTTCTTCTTTATTCTTATTTTATTTCACCCCATAGCTTCGCCGTGAATTTTCAGAATCTTTATCTGTTCATCTCCCTCTAACTTTCTTCTAATCTAATCTTTTCTTTTTTCTCTCTCTCTTTCTTGCTTCTCCTTTTCATTTCTCTTACCTTTATCTTTAAAACTGTTGGTGAAGCGCGAAATTTGCAGAAGTAAAGTAAAGTTTGCTCGGATGGACGGGAGAAGATGATAATATTTTTCAGGATATATTTATTTCAGATTTAAAGGGATTATATTAAAAGAGAAAAGTATCGAGGTATAATATATTTTAAGTCGATTAATTGTTAATATAAATTGTTGAATGATTTTAAAATATTAGGGAGTATAATAATCGATCATAGTACAATGATCTGTACAAATATTTTCTATCTTCGATGTTACTTAGAGCAGATATATTTTATTTAACGGTGAAACGTTAACGTTGACTCGCGTGGTTCCCCCGCATTAATTAAGTGTAACGGGACGTCCTAAATGTCGGTCCAGGTTAATTCGTTTTTGCTCGAAACTCGTTTAAGCGATCGTCTACCGAACTTCTCCTCGAACACGACGAGTAATGGAAATGTTTTGTGTAAAAAATGCTCGTTGGTGATTGCCTTTTTGCGAACCTTGACGTTCTTGCCGTTAGAATAAAGTCAAGATTTTTTTTCTTTTTTTTATTACTATGATCTGTTACAAATCATGGAAGAAATATATTAGATGTTGTTTGATTGGATCATATCGGTTTAAAAATTATCGATGAAATATATTTTGAAATGATATATGTATATATAATTTATGTATTATAATTATATTGCTAATTTTTTATAGAAAACTTTGCACTGTGTATAATGCTAGAAAAATAAGTGCACAACAGCATAGTTAAAATTATAAAAGAGATCTCAATAATTAAGAGTGACACGAAATTCTATACAAGATATTATTGTCATATAAGAGAACTTTACAAATACATCGAGATTAATCAGATCAGACTTAAAAAATTATACGTTCTCTTCACGCAATAATAAATCAAACAGATATTTACCACATCTCATTTGCTCCTTTACACCCTCACGATACAAACAATTAATTATTCCATATTTCACCAATTTTCGAATCAAAGGAATTTTCGATATCGCAAACAAAAGCATCCTATCGAAAACAAAAAGAAGGGGAAACGCATTCCACTCGTATTAATAAAAGCAAGAGTACATTAATCTCCAATTTCTCTGTCGGTCTTTGTCGAAGCAGAATGTCAGACTTCCTGGCCGACTGCGCGGAGAGGATAATCGTGCTGGGTATAGTGCACAGGCGGATCATAAATCGATTCCACAAATTCATCCTCTGGCTGGGCATCCCGTTGCACAGGGTGCAGGACACGAAGCCGAACGAGTTTTGCCGTATCGTGTCCGAGTTCGCGCTCGAGTACAGAACCACCAGGGAGAGGGTGATACAGCAGCTCGAGAAAAAAGCCAATCACCGTGAAAGAAATAAGACCAGGGGAAAGATGATCACAGAGGTGAGTTACAGGGCAGGGTATTTTTTTCCTTTTTTTTTTTTTTTTTTTTTTCTTTCTTTCGACTGAAAATCTTTGGGAAGGGCCACCTCTCATCAAACACTGTTATCGGAGCGTGAACGGGCATTATGGCACGAGGGGGAATAAATTGCTTTTTTTTTTTGCCACGGGTAGAATCAATTTCTTTTCTTGCCCACCGTTGCATTAATATCCCGCTCTCGTTTCTCGTCCGCGATTACGTATCCTCGTTGTCGAGGGCGCAGGTTCACTGTGATCGTTTAGAATCACAACGGTCGTTGGCATCTTTGTGATGTGCAAGAACAACTTTGAGATGATTAGATAGTTCTTTTTTTTTGAGTATAATTAGTTAATTAGATTCTACATTCCTTTTTTTTGTATTTATGTTCAGAAAGAATAAAGTTATAATATTTTATTTTGTAAGTTGATCAATGAACTCTTGTATTTATAATGATTGATGATTTTCTGTTTTCTGGTGACTATTTATTTAGATTTTAGAAACTGTATACTGGATATATGTCTTATTAGTCCTTGCACTTTTTTGTCTAAAACAGAGAGAGATTAGTAGCAATTGAAATTATTTATCTGGAATTGAATAAAAATTGTGAAAGTGTTAATTTTTTTCTGAAAAATAGCAGTATCGTTGATACAGTTTGGCAATAAAATATATAACTCTCAACAATTTTCGTTCTAATATGAATTCGACGACTGGTTTGGTCGTTGCAGGTTGGCAAATTCAGGACGAAAGAGGATCGCGCGGACGCGGAACTCAGACAATTGCTTGGAAGCGATATCTCCGATGTCGAGAGTATTCACGGCACCCTTCCGTGGAGAAGACAGAGGAAAGATGGTGAGTTTTTCGTTGTTACTTATTTCTCTTGTTACTCGTTCGTTTTACTCGTTCCCTCGACTCCAAGTTTCTTAAACTTTGCGATTCCTGCTTGAATCTCTTCCTTTTTTGCTTCGCACGATAGATTACGATCTTTTTTATTTTTCCTTTCGTTGCATTCGTTCTTCTCTTTATGTTTGCGATATTTAATCACGTAGTTGAAAATAAATTGCTTGTTGGTGATAAAAATTTAACATTTTACATATGGTGAACGTGGATGAATTTTATGCGATGCGAAAATTCAACTAAATTTCTATTTTAAAAATTTTATTTTCATCGGCATTATAATTTTTTGTTGTAAAGTGGAAGAATGAAAAACAAAGGAAAAAATGATAGAAATATTTTTACAATATTAACGTTCAACATAGATGATCTTATGCTCCCAATAAGAGTATCGTTCAAACCATCTGTGAGGTTCGTTTTTCCATCTAGACGCAATTTGCAACATAAATCTGTTTTCTGCGTGACGCATCGTTCGATTGATCGAAGTATTCTAATATCCTGCCATCGACAAGTTTCATATTTCTACATTACACGACGTCTGGCTCGTAGAATACAGAACAAGGCAATAAAACGCAATAATATCGTCGCTTGTTGGTGCTCGATCGAACACCAGAAATCACTGCAATGTTTCCATATTTCTTTTTTCTTCTCCCATTTTTTTTTTTATTTTTCTTTGGCTGAAAACAAACCATCGATTTCACGTACAACTTATTAATATTTATAAATACTACATATATTTTAATCCCTTCAAGTTAATCTTGTATTAAAATATACTTATATTCTAAGATATCAAATTTAATGTTAACAATCCATGCAATTTAAAAGTAAAAAAAAAAAAGGAAAAAAAGAGTTTTCATTCTCAGAATCTCTCGAACTCCTGTTACCCAGGATAAAGAGGAGTGGACCAAAGTTTTCGCAGTCCTTCTTAAAAGAGTGGAAAATATAACGCGTCTTAAAAGGGGTAGCCACCAGATAAGAACAAAGTGCGAGAATTTCTCCTCGTTTCCGCAACACTGTGGCCTGCAAGAGATAAATGCTCCTTCTTAAGCAAACGCTCTCGAGGCTAAATTTGGGGATAGCTTGGCTTGTTTGACGATATTATCTAAAAATGAAAAGTAACGGTATTTCAGAAATGTGCGGCTAAAAAAACGCAAGAATCGCGTTTAGAAGATAATCTCGTGCGGGGGAGGGAGATTTACATGGGATTTCCTCGTCCTTACTTTAATATTTCCTGACCATTTTCCCGAAATTTTTTTTCCCGCCATTTTCTCGAGACTTTTCGACTCGAAAAAGCTAATGGAATCTTGTTTATGACAGTTGTTCTTGCTTCTGGAAGTATTTTTTTTTTCTTAAGAGTGCTTCTTATTTATAATGAATGGTTTTTTTTTTTTGATAAAAAATTGTTAAATTTGTTTCCTTGGTAAAGTGATATGAATAATAAACTAAGAAAGAAAAGGAAGAAGATCAAAGAAGAGAAAATTTATATTTAAGAAAAAAAAGGATATTGCTTCTCTGAAAGTGAATAAAAGTTGTGTAAGATATTATTAATTATTTTATAAAATTAATTAACGGTTCAAATTGAGAATTAATTTTTGTATGTATTAAATCAAAATATAAAGCAATCGTTAATTCTTGATTTAGATCTTAAACCTAAGTCATCTTTTGCATCTTACTATGATTATATAATAAAAAAACAAAAATAAAAAAAGAAATTAATAAAAATGGAAATAGCGGTATCATAATATAAATTTATTTTGATTTTTTGTCAGAGATGATATTATCACTGTAATAGTCACTTGTCTGACTACATATTGATATTTACTACTGCTACTCTAGACATACACGTTAATGCTATGTAATACTTCATCAAAATTTTTTCGTTTAAGATTCAATTAAATAAAATTTTCAAATTTTTGTTGTCACATAAGATGATAAGAAGACAAAATATGCAGAATAATAAGATTAATTAGTTAAATTCATATAATGCAAAAAATATGGAAAATGGAACTTTTACATTCGTGATGATGTTTCTCTTAAAAAAGGTCAAAATTTTCTTAAAAATGTATTATATATATATAATATATATATTATTTCTATTACTGGATAAAGTTACTTAACTACTTACTAATTACTGGAAAAAGTTAACTTGTTTTATTGACAAAATGAAAGAGAAATTAATTATTAAACAATATCAAGAAACTTAAATTATCAAAGCTTCTTGGATCAATTCTTTTCAAATTTAATTTATTATTTTTATTAAAAATTAATAATACTGAAAAGAAAAAAAATATATTTTTCAAAATACCATCGCATCTGAAGAGACATAAAAAAATTCCCGATAAGATAACATTCCACGCGATGAGATTCTACCGAAGCCAATCTCCGACAAATCCCAAATTCTCCACACCTGAACGAAACAATCTTCTCCTCGCGGTTGTATCTCGAGAATGGTGTTATTTCCGCCACGATTCAGTAGCCATTTTACGGTAACTTGTAACACGCCAAGATTAACTATCAGATGGCACCATGGGCGATGATCGCCTCGCTTTTCCTCGAAATGTTGGAAATGTTGGATGAAAGCGAAGCTGATATCATTCGGGATCGCGCAAAATCGTCTACGATCGTGACCTTTTATTCTCTCTTTTCCTCTCCACTTGAAAGAAGAATTTTTATTCGTGCAGCGTGGACCATATGCGTATAAAGGTCCTGGAGGGCAAAGCCATCCCTTTACGGCTCATAAACTTGCCAATACTCGTGCACTACTTCACCTACACGGCCGTCATAACTTTTCTTTCCTTTTATTCTCCCCTGTGCTCCTCTATAAAATATCTAAATACCCAAAGTTGCCTATATGTTTTATCATCCTTTTATACTGTTGAAGTTTGGATATATTTGAAAAATATATAATACGAATGCAAATAGTTGAATTTTTGTAACAGTTAATGAATAATTCTGTGTTCTCTGAATGATTTTTATTCCTGTTAATTACAAAGAATTAACTCTTGTTGAGAATTAACTCTTGTTAATTGCAAATTATGAAAACACACTATAAATAACTTTCCATGGATTAAATAATACGTAAAAACCAATCGATTAAATTATAATTAAATTATAAATCTAATCTGATTAATAATATTCGAACTTTTAGTCGAAAACAGGAAGCTTTTTTTCGCAATAAAATCGTTTAATCTAAATGGTCGAGTGACGGACAATCCTGATGTTAAAGTTTAACCGTCTCGAGGATAAACAGGGCACAAAAGTCCAGCGCAGTCTGCGACATCGAGTACCCACGTTGACCACATCGCGAAACTTGGTCCCTCATTTCGGCCCTAGTTCATGGAAATTCCTTCTTACCCTCTCCCCCCACCACCCCTTCTTTACTGGTTCTTCCTGTGCACCTACCTTCCTATCGGATTTACACAGCCACAGAGACCGCCAATGGAAGCTTCTTTCAGCCGAGTTTCAAAGAAGCTCTCAAAGGAACTCACCGTGCTTTTGACGGTTCCGAAGTTTCTGCCCCCCGGACCACTAACATAGAGAGAGAGACTGTTCCGCCAAGAGTTGACCGGAGACCGAAAGAAGAATGGCCCAGTCCTCTTGTGCAGAGAGTTGGAGCCGAGTAAACGTCGTGAGACGACGATACAGTCTCTCTCTGGTTGGAGACAGAAATCTTTGCTGAGAATTGTTAATGATAGAGAAGATAAAAGATAAAATGGTTATCTATTTGTATTTCTTGAATGAAAATGTGATGGGGAGAGATTGGGAGATTTTTAGAATTTTGATACGATTTGAGGTGTATTTCTGAAAATTTAGATTTATTTTTTCACGTGTCATTTTTGTATTTCGATTTTGAATGGAATTATGATTCTTATGTTTAAAATTTGTGTTCTTTGCTGATACAATATGAACGTTTTCTTCTGAAGAAATAGAAATGTAAAAAGGGAAATAATCGTTAAATTTTTAATATTGACTAAAATGGGAAGATTTTCAGGTAGATTTGTGAAAATAAAATCCAATTTAAGATACCAATGGAATCTTTTTTCGGTAATAATAAGTAAAATTATAATTTTTTCATGAATTTTTCAAAGTTCTAATATGTCAGTACATATTAGAAAGATTAAATTATTAGTAACTTAAAATAAAATTCTGATAAGAATTTTAATAATCTGCATAGAATTTCATTATCAATTCTTCTCTCGTTCTCTTAGATTTTTTTTAAAATTCAAACAAATTCACCCTCGATTCGATGAAATAATTTTCATGATGACACATTCATCCGGAATGCATCTTTCATCGTTGATTCCGTGAAAAGTTTAGAAATATTCCGCTTTCTAATCAGATATTCTCAGTTTGTGATTCCTCGTTTCTTAAACACGAAACGTTTTTTTAACTATCGAAACGTGATCGAATCCTTTTTTTCGATTCTAGATATTTTATTATCTTACTATCTCACGATTAATTATAATTAATAATATTACTCATCCGTTTTCAATTAAAATTCAGATACCGAACTCTTTACAGAGATAAATTCGACTTTTGAACATATATCACAAAGGAATGTAAAATTTCTATTTCAGGTCGTACTTCATTGGGCCCACTGCTCCGTGACGAGAACACAAATGGAAATCTGACTGACGGCGATGATGAGTTGCTGGAATCCCTGGTGAAGACGGCGACGAAAACGCCTGCAACGAGGACAACGCCAAGGGAACGCAAGAGGACCAGACACGCCGATCGTAAGTCTTGTAAGTGTGATCCCCGCACCCTGCACCTGCCCTCCATTCTTCCGCGCTGATCGATTTATCTATCAGTTCTTTCTTAAAAATCGATCGTTTGATCGGCTCTTCATTATCGATACATTTTCAGTGGTGTTTTATGGATCAATTTTTTCTCTCGAGGACTCCATGTTACTTTATAACTTCATTCTAAATAAATTTATCCAAAAGATTTCAATTTTTTTATTCATCCTATTTGCATTAATCGTTATGAATAGTGATTTGCAAAAAATTGTTCTGAAATATTTTTACATACATTATTTGCAAAAGTGCGTTATTCAATTTTTTTTCACTTTAGTGAAATCTTGTAATATCTGGTGATATATAAAATGTATTTGTTGCAACAATGAGAAAAATTTGTCCGATTAAGTATAATTTGAGAAGAATTATTAAAAATAAAATTTATTTCAATGGATATTACTAATATAGTTATATTAATTTGAAATTTTATTAAAGTGCATACGTGTTTTCTTTGCATCGTCTCCTCTTCTCCTCATCGTCGTCTCTTCTTCAACAATTCAATTATTCTTATAAATTTCTCTACGAAACACAAAGCAGTCGTCGTTATCTCGTCTTATAAAGATGCCAGGCACTTTTTAAAGTTGTCCACGAGATTCGATCGAGCCGTCACGCTGATGATCATCGATTGGAAATCGGGGCGGGAATTCATTTTTCATCGGGAACGGGGACCATGAAGCTCGATTTGCCGGCCGGATTGATTAATCGCCGTCCGGATTTGAGATGCGTTTTCCCGGAAATTCTAGTTGTCTAACGGAAAATGCAGATTTCGATACGATCGGCCATTGTCTGCCGATAAATAATTGGCGGATTCAGAAAGTGATTTCTGGAAAAGGGACGAGCGATTAATCTGGCCCAATTTGTCCAACGATACCGATCGATCGATGGCGATTCGTTTTTGATTTTTTGATTTTGAATTATACCGTGATTTCTCTTCTTTTTAAACGATCATCGTCTCGATGATAAGATCTCAACGTCATTTGACATTTCTAATTTCTATAATATCCTAATAATAGTATTCTAATCTTGAAATTCATAGCAAATATGAATATGTAATTAGATTTAAAAATTTTTGATAAAAAAAAAATGTACAATTTTAAGTGATATATGAAAGAAATAAGAAGAAGTAAAAATTTTATAATCTTCTATTTTTTCATCGAAAGATATTTAAATTTAGAATAATTTAGGATAAAATTTAAAATCTTTCATCTTCCCATTATAAGATTTTAAAATCTAGTTAGATTTGTCATCGTTATTTGGCATTTAAAGAAAATTATGAAATCAAGAGATCGAAAATATTTGATATCAACATAAGAAATATTAAATATTGAATACATTAATCATCGATCTTCGATGTAACAAAAGATGCTGTTAATTCGGATAAAAGAATAAAAGAAAGAAAACGACTTGAGTAATAGATTTTCTTTTCTTGGACGGATGATCAATTTCCTGGAATCTCGTTTCTTGTTTCCAACAGTCGACGCGATCTATCACGGTTAACGAGAAAGGCGAGCTTAAAGTCGCATTAATATTAATTAAAAAAACATCCTAGAGGATCGTAATTCCTCTCAGCATGCAAATGCTTACGCACTTTCATCTGTATTCTTGAAGATATCTCTTCGTTAAAGTTGATCTCTTCATAATTAATGGCCAAGGAACAATTATATAACACGTATGCCGGATTTATATGGCTGCAAATGGAGTCCTCGAAACGTTCTGAAAATAAATTCGGTCCATAAATAAAGATTCGATCTCGACAAGCGGAAGTCCGGAGGTGAAAATTCGAAATGCCCGCGATCGAAGGCAACATTAACATTATATGAACTTCGATCGTTACTTCAATCTTCTTCGAGCACCTTATTGGCACCGATCTTCCTCCATCTTTCCTCTCAATTTCGACCAGTGTACATATATATATCTCTTTATCATCTACGTTCGAAGTGAAGAAAAATTATAAATTGAACGAGGTAAGAATTATTCCAATTGTTGATCGCCACGTTATATAGGATGTAATAATAATATTTCAGAAATTGATTCAGAGAGTGATTTATTATTATAAACGAGAATTAATATTTATTCAAAAATTGAAAATACGTACATCTTAAATGATTTTTTTAAACAGTATATTACAAAGATTTTAAAATTCTTATTATTAAGAAGAATATTATATTATTTATACAGGGGTGAATTTGCTGAAAAATCGTGGACAAGAGTAATATTATCATATCTGATAAATTATAATAACGTAGCATTATTATTTCAAAGGAAAATTTAAGCTTCAAGGAAACTTTCAAGCAAAACTACTTTGGCGACGATCAACGCGTTAAAGGGGTTAAAAATGATCTTGTTCCCCCACTGGCGATAAATAGTCCAGGTTACGACAAAGTTTTTCACGACCGTGTATCATGCAGATCGCGTACATTTTACAAGTTTTTTAAGCAACATCTGCGGTGGCAGTTTTTTAAACAGCTTTCCGCGAAAATGAGACACCCCCTCCCTCTTCCACAGTTCGGCGAAAGTGTCATTTGCATTTTATATTGCGCCTATTCACAGTTTGCCGAGCATGGCCGAGCCGTTTTCATAGTCGAACGCGTCAGCGTTTGAAAAATCCGACGGATTTTCCCATGTTTCGGATGAAAGCCACCCCTCTTTTTTTTTCCAGGTTATTGTGAACCGTTTTAAGAATCTCGTTTTCGAAGTTCGCGCGCTTTTGAACCGAGTTCGCGGAAAAGGAGGTGTAAAACGAAATGGCGAATAAAATGTTAAAATATCTTTCGAGGTGGGCCATTTTCACCGTGAAAATGGGATATAACTGTGATAAAGAGAAAATCACGTGGAAAACGTTTCCCATGGCGTGACATTAACGTGAGATTGAAAAAATTTTGTCATATTTTCCTCTTTCTTTCTTTCTCTTTTTCTTTTTTTTTTTTTTTTTCCCTCGCTTTTAAATAGGTGTCCACGATTTTTATGGAACTTTGTGTGTTGAAAATTGGCGAAATATTAGATTTCCTTTTCACGCTTATATTGGAATATCGGTGATAAAACACCATTTCCGACTATTTTCGACGCAATATTTTTATATTGGCGATGGTTATTAGATGGAACTTACAAGATCGATATATTGGAAATATATTGTATGTAATAATATTTGCATTTGCTTCTTGATGCTTTCTTGTATGGCGAATATCGATATATTTGATATTATAGTCAAGTCACCCTTTATTTATTACATTTTTTGATGAAAAAATATATTTCTTTCTTTTTTTTTTAAATTTACCATTTTTAGCAAGTACTCAAATTCTATTTTTTAGTTAGGTGAAAAGTGAACTCGTGAAATTTATATCGCGATAGATTCATGAAAATTGATTTTGTTTATAAATCAAAAATATGTAAAAATCGTAAAATTCGTTATAAAATTTAGAAAATCTAGAGATAAACGATTTGTTGTGATCGATGCTCACAAATAAATTTAAATTTATTTTACAAAATTTTACAAAATTCCAGTCTCTCAGCAATACATCAGCAATATTTATCTCAAATTATTTTCAATGTGTTATCAAATAAATTGATATTCTTCATTCGATTATTCCACAATTTTTTAAATTATTTCGTATTTTTGCAATAAAATAAGACAATAAAACATTTACCATTTTTGCGTGTATTTCATTATTATTTAAAATAAGATTTGCAATTTTTTAAATTATTCCAGCGAATATGGAAAAAGAAACTTTTCATAAATTAATTATAACCATAATTTGTATCCACTTCGATTCAAAGAAGAAAAGAATATCTTTTACAAGTCAGCAAGGCATCATAAACCGTTTGATTAATAAATATTACAGGAAATATTTGCGAATCTTCTAAAAACACGGGCAGGTTTTTTTCAACAGTATAAACGTTTCCTGCATCGTATAACGAGGTATTTGCTGGGTATACGCGAGGGTGCAAAAGGATAGGAGATAACGATTAAACATTGCATACGTTCCCCTACGAAAATAGAAAAAACACGCACACACTCATGCCGTAGAGAAAAGTTCGTTGGTTTTCGTGAAAAGAATATATGGGAGGAAAGCAAATAGGCTACAATTTTTCAATTTCTATGCCGCACGTCGTTTCAAACAATCAATGGAAGAATGAAATCCCTCTCACATGATTCATAATAAAATTAAGATTTACATTTTATGGATTCATTTTTTTTCCCCCTTCTTTTATTTTTCGTATTTTTCTCTGTTCACTGCGCAAACAAAGGATTCGCGTAGTTTGTTTTTTACAGTTTTCGTTTAAATACACTTCTTTGCCCATCTCTCTGGAGAAAAAAATGACAAAGATATCTGTCAAAAGTGATATTTGACACTCGGGAAAACATTTACAGATAGGTAGAGTAAGAATCTAGCGGGAGGAAAATTAAACATACGCCGTTTCTGAAGTATAAAAGCTCAAACTCGATAATATCTATCTTTAACCTGTTGATACACTCCTGCTAGCGTGTACGTAGATGTAATTTCATTTAACTTGTTCCCATCGATCCTCTCGTGTGAAGTATTTTTCTTATCTATTATTTCGGAATTCTTTCCTTCCTCTCTCTCTTTTTTTTATAGTTTTTATATTTATGTTAGTAATATCAATTATTCTCAATTTATTAAGAAAGACAGTAGAGAAAAATAAGGTAAGATTGATAATAAATATTAATTTTCTTGTTGATATATCTAAAGGGTTATCTAAACGTATCTTAATTATAATGATACAAGAAATATTTTTATGCAATTTGACAGATATCAGAAATATCTTTCTATGACTATATATATACACACTCGAATTCTATTGAAACAAAATTCATTAGATCATAGATAGCTTTAAATAATATTTGAAATATTTTTCTTTTAAATTTTCTGATTCCATAATATAATCCAAATATAGAGATATAATTTTCCATCATAAAATACCATTCAAATTATATTCTAGCTAATTTCAAGCTTCAACGAATATTATTCAAAAGGATATTTAATTACTAAATTTTTAATCAATTTATACTTTTGTCAAATTATACTATTTTATGCATTAAATACTTCTTAATGAAACGTATTAATTTTCTCCATTTAAAGCAAGACACATAAAATTACAATGCTAAGATATTTTGTATGTTATTAATATATCAACGATAAAATATTCAGCATTAATGATATGCTATATATAAGCTTATTAAATAAAGGAAATAATGTAATAACGAAATGGAGGGTGCAATTGTCTGGAAAGGGAAGAATCCAGTAGTTGAGGGAAAATAACAATTGGCTAGCATGCGTACAAATAATTCGAAGGAGCGTGTTTTACGGAAGAAGCTCATTTTCCCTTTTCTCCTTCATTTCCTCCCCTTTGCCCCAAATTATCCAGTTTAAGGTGGCATAGCAAAGGGTGTGGTGATGGTTTGAGTACATACGTGCACCCACAAGCAAGTATATGTAAAGATCACAAGAGAAAAATTTGATATAACAATTTTATTTTTCGATTTTTTACCATTCAGAAGGAATTATCTTGATATAAGTAAAATAGCAAATTTTCAATGTAAGAGAGAAAGGGAAAGAAATTGATAATAATGAATTAATCATCGGACTAGAAAATAATAATTATTAATCTATATATATATATTTGTACAAATACATATTATCATAGAATAAATTGTATATATCTATACACGTATATATTTGAAAGAAAAATTAAACACATATGATACTTATATCTCTATATAAAACATAATAACATAAAAACAAGTTATATTTTTAATTATATAAAAAAATAGAAATGAAATTTTGTATAACTAACGTAGTAACATTTTGTATAACTTCGACAACTAATCAATTGAATTAAAAAAGAATTATTTAAAGTAACACAAATCTGTTATTAAAATCTTCTGTAAATATAAAGAAAATGATACTTAACAAGCTTTTCTCTTATGGTTTCGTACACGTGTGTGGGTGCAAGTAGGTATGTGTAATACGTGTAGAAACCGGTGGTGGTTGCTAACGGGGTGGCCTAGCCTTTTTCCCTTCCTCTTTTTTTCTGTCTGTACAGTGAAGCGGTCGCGCACCAGGGAGAACAACACCACGCCGGAAGGGTACCAACCCTGAAGGACTACCAATCGTGACCGACGCGATGAAGGTTCGCTGGTTTTTCGATTAAACGCAACTTGCTTTTCCTTTTCTTTCTATTTTCACACTGCATATTCTTGTTTCTATTCTCTTCTGCCCTTTTTTTTTCATTTCTCCTTCCATTCTCTTTTTGTTTTCTTTCTTCTTACGTGGAATATTGGTTCGGGCCCTTTTCTATCTGGGCATGCTTTGCTTGTTCCTAGCAGCATGTGTTTTGCGATACTTGCAATGTTTTAAGATTGACGTTCTTATCTCTTGATTGGAAATGGATTTCTGACGAGACTTGTGATTATTTCAAGCTTTATGCTTGTTCAACGATGATGGAAAATTTTGAGATTAATTAGGAAATAATAATACGTCTTGTTTAAGAATCTTGGAATATAGAATATTTTTAGTGTTTGAAGTGAGTCATATATTTTAATTGCATGCGTGTGCATCTTTATCGTACTTTAGCATTTGAGAAAGACATTTTTATAGTATTCGATTTACGTGATAAAATATTGATAATAGACTATGAAAATCACGTAAAGTTACAAATAAAACTTGAAACTTTCGTATAAAAAATATGAAAAAAAACCAAAGATTTTATCATCAAAATCTATTCAGAAAATAAGGAAAACCATACCATTGAAATTCGTTTTTGTTTTATCCCGATATCTCAATCGGTTGCCGAGATATAGGGATTCAAAGTGTCCATAGCGCTTCAGACAGGGCAGAAATTATGAATGGGTCAGTGACCTACATATTTTCGTGGAAATGCGTACTATTTCCAGGAATCGCGTCTGTCGCTTGTCTGGACTTTGGGGTAGGTCAGTGAGACGAGGTGCGAGCGAGAGTTCCGAGTAAGCGACAAGGATGAAGATAATAAACGATCAAAAATTACCCTTTTCTTTACACGACGATATCTCGGCAACCGGAAGTCGTATCGAGATGAATAAAAAAGCGTTTTAAAGTGCAAGGTTCAGCGCTTCTAATGGTCTCTTATCCATTTACAAAAAGTAATTATCTTCGAAGTTATAGCGGTTTAAAGTTTCCCTAATTTTAATAGAGTTTAATCGAGTTTTATGATAAATTACGTGACGATTATATTTATTTCTGAAAAAATATTGCTTATAAGGATATTACAATAAATTTGAATACTTATTATACAGAAAAAGAAGAATATAGAAAAATTGTTTCGACATAATATTATATAATATTGTTTAAAATTTCAACACGAACGTGTAATTTTGTAATGATAACATTTACTATTATTCTTATATTAGGATACTTGTTCTTCAATATCGTGTAGTTTTCTTTATAAATAAGATCTCGTGTTTTCAAAAATATTATGGATAAAAACTAAACATGTTATATTAAATAATAATATTCTCAAATTGAAAAAAATAAAAAATTCTAATTAAGAAATAATAATTCAACATTACATACTTCGAATTAAAAACCAATCAACGATGTTTCGAAAAGAGATATTAATATATAATCGAAGAAAATGAGAAAAAATTATAGTAATTGATAGAATATCATTGAAAGAAATTACGGTAATACTATCTCGTTGATGATAGTAATAGATATTGAGAAATGATAGATATAACTGTTGATAGACAGTGGAGTTTACATTCCACCATAAATTACAGTCCGTTTCGGGGCAAATATTGAGCACAATTATCAGCAAATGAATCCATTTAGGATAAATACGGTTTAACATTATCAATAGCAGTATTAAGGGGATATACGTTGTGTAACATAATCTACATTCTCATGTATGCTATGCTAAGTGTACATAATAGAGTTAATATACGCTATACAATTATTGGTTTCGCTTTCTAATCATTTTGCGAGGTAATTCTGCTTATAAATTATCTAATAAGTCTCATATATGAATCTAAGGGAAAAATATTCAGGAAAGTGACACGAATCTTATCGATTTTTACAATATATTCGTTATAAGAGGGAATAATGAATTCGAATAAGAGAATTTCATTTCATGATAAATGAAAAGCAAATCTGATTCAAGGAATTCATGATTAATGAACTTGTTGATTTCTTTCCAAAGTAATAATTAAATTTTAATCAATATTATTCAACGATTTTATTGAATTAATCATTGACAAATTATTAATTTCACCTCTTTTTTTATAATTATTAAAAATTAAAAGTTAATATAATCAGTTGATAATTAAAATTTATCAAATTTGTTATTGATTTGTAACTACTTCGTATGAAATTTAAAAATATAAGTAATTCAAAATAATGAAAAATCAAATTCAATAGCTGAATCAAAACATAATACCACAATATTAATTCAATCTTGCAAGACAATCCTAAGAAACGAAACTCTACGATCTTTATTCAACCTCGCTCACAACGTAGCAGTGTAATCCAGAAACCAATTCTCCAATCCCACCCTGCACATCGAACTAATTTCCCCCGGCTCATTAAACAGCATTCAACGTTCCCAAAGAACATTCGATACATCGAAGCGCTTTCACCAAGAGCCGCCGCGTCACTCGCGCAACGATCAATCGAATTACTATCGATCTACCCCCATGGGCCTGTGACGCTTATTCACACGCGTATGGTACACACGCTGCCGTATCGAAAGAAGCGGGGGCCAAGTAATTTCGTTGGTATCGATCCTTCTTGACTGTCGCCACAAATATTTACTAAGTAGTTCGGCCGCAGCCGATGCACGATAAACACAGTCTCGTTAATAACGTGATCACGTGGGCGTCGTGGCACGTGTTGCACGATAAACGCCACGACGAATAAATTGGAGGTAGGCAGGTCTCATGTTTGCCAGATGACCGATTCGATTCGAGTAACATTAAATTGGAAGTCAACGGTGCGCGAAAATCGGCTAATTCGACCGATGGCAGAGATAGGCTATTACGGAAAGAATGAACCTTCGATTGACACCATGTACAACCATTCGTGCTAAGTGGCATTAATTGTAGTTGAGTAACGTTTAAGGGGATGGTTGAAGCATCAGAACGAATTCAGAATTGTTAGTTATTTGAAATTTTAATGATTAGTGGAATTAAAAAGTGAATTATTAAATTATGTAGGACGTATACTGTCCTTTGTGACATTAAAAATTTGTTAAATTTATAAAATATTAGAAAAATTTATCATTCAGATATTTACTATATTATTATTTCAGTACTTTCATTTTTTTGGCACAGATTAATTAATTCTTCTTTCATTTAAGTCAATAAGATACTTCATTTAAGTTGACAAGAATATTTAATTTTTAGAAATGAGCTCAAATCCTTGAATTTCGAAAAGAAAATTACAGAAATGATTTCAAAATACTGAAAATTATCAAATAATCGAATTAATAAACATTAATCACATATTTCCTGTTCACATACTTACTTTTTATACATTTTTTCTAGTCTTGCCATTGATTCAGAGATATAAAATATTTTTATTCATAGTTTATAAAAATCTACATTTATTTCCTTCATACTTATATTCTATATTTTCTTCGAATAAAGAATTTTCTTCATGCATTTTTAATTATTTTAAAAATTTTTAAATAAATCAAGACTATACTCAGTACATTATTTCTATTATTCAGATTTAATAATAATAAAATAAAATTATTAAAATAATATGATATAACTGAAATAGTATTAAAAAATTTTTAAAATAAAAATAAATGCTATCGAGATGCTCTTTACATTTTTACATAGGGTACCAAGAGTAAATAATTTATAAAAGGTAATGTTTGTTTCTCAAACACAAGTATACACTTTTTAATACTCCAGTTGATCTATCCTGGCATTCTCTATAAAAAAGTATCGAGGCATATGTAGCAAAAAACTTGTAGTTGAAAAAATAATTAAATTTGTTTAAATATCTTTTAAACCAATGATTTTTCGCTATATATGGCATAATGCTTTTTTACAGAGAATACCACGATACATCGACTGATGCATTAAAAAATATATGATTCCATTTAAAAAAACAAAGTTGAGCTTGACAAGTTTTTTATGGGCACACCTACGAAAAAACTGAGAGCACCATAATATAGCCCTTTCGAAACCATTCAACTTTTGTTCCAAGCATTTTTTAATATTATGAAGAATAAAGGAGATATTAAATAAAAAAGAGTAACATCGAATTTCCGACCGACGAAGAAAAATTTTTGTCCAAAAATTCCACTTTGTATTAGGAGAACATGATACGATAGGAGGTCGATCGAAAACTTTTTCCAGGAATTTTTCGGCAATTCTTGGAAATGACGTCAAATTCTCGGAACCTCTAAAATTCTTGGAAATGACACCGAGTTCTGAGAATTACTAATGTTCTTGGAACTGACGTCAAATTCTTGGAATTCTCGATCGAGTGAACGAAATATTACTTCGATCGTTCTTTGTATCAGGAGAATATAATTTAAAAGGAGTTTTTTCACACTTATCGTATATCTACCGTTCTCCCACTTACTTTTTTACCATTTTTCTTAGCGTTGCCATTTTTCTAGAGCTTTGAAACATTTTTCTTCGCAATTTATATATTAATTCACATACTTTCTTCTTGCATAGTTATTTTCTGCCAATCTAAGCACGTTTTTTATCATTTTTTTAACTTTTTTATCACCTCCAACGCTGTACTTTTCTTATATGGAATATCTCGATTATTTTTAATAATCGATTACATAATATGTTATACCCGGTGTCCGGATAACATTATCCAATGTATCTGGCTTGTTTCTGGAGATATTAAAAAACGTTTCGAATAAAAGTTAAACCTTTTAGGGGAGGGAACGGCCTGCTGTAGTTTATTTTTTTATACATTGTAGCGTAGATGATTTATAAAAGGGAATGTTTGTTTCTCAAACACAAGTATGCACTTTTTAACACTCCCGTTGATCTATCCTGGCATTCTCTATAAAAATGTATCGAGGCATATGTAGCAAAAAACTTGTAGTTGAAAAAATAATTAAATTTGTTTAAATATCTTTTAAACCAATGATTTTTCGCTATATATGGCATAATGCTTTTTTACAGAGAATACCACGATACATCGACTGATGCATTAAAAAATATATGATTCCATTTAAAAAAACAAAGTTGAGCTTGACAAGTTTTTTATGGGCACACCTACGAAAAAACTGAGAGCACCATAATATAGCCCTTTCGAAACCATTCAACTTTTGTTCCAAGCATTTTTTAATATTATGAAGAATAAAGGAGATATTAAATAAAAAAGAGTAACATCGAATTTCCGACCGACGAAGAAAAATTTTTGTCCAAAAATTCCACTTTGTATTAGGCGAACATGATACGATAGGAGGTCGATCGAAAACTTTTTCCAGGAATTTTTCGGCAATTCTTGGAAATGACGTCAAATTCTCGGAACCTCTAAAATTCTTGGAAATGACACCGAGTTCTGAGAATTACTAGTGTTCTTGGAACTGACGTCAAATTCTTGGAATTCTCGATCGAGTGAACGAAATATTACTTCGATCGTTCTTTGTATCAGGAGAATATAATTTAGAAGGAGTTTTTTCACACTTATCGTATATCTACCCTTCTCCCACTTACTTTTTTACCATTTTTCTTAGCGTTGCCATTTTTCTAGAGCTTTGAAACATTTTTCTTCGCAATTTATATATTAATTTACATACTTTCTTCTTGCATAGTTATTTTCTGCCAATCTAAGCACGTTTTTTTATTATTTTTTTAACTTTTTTAATACCTCCAACGCTGTATTTTTATTATATGGAATATCTTTATTTTATAGAGACTACCAGGATTCATCTACTGATATATTCAGAGTGATATATATTAGGAATAATTCTTTCTCTGTATTGAATTGTTCGAATAGATGTAGTCATTGGAATGCATATATTATGTTGTATATAGGATTGTTAATTTAAATGAATGTGTTATTAAGAAATAGAATTAATATATATATTACTTTGTGTTTTATTTTTTATACAATAATACACCTTAAGTTTATTTAAATTGTTATAGCTTAATAAATAAATTGACTCAATCAATATTTTTGTATATTAACACTCATTTGTCAAGAATAAGATTTGAATAAATAAAATACGATGGAATATAGGACAAATATATATATTCACTGTCGTAATGCATTTAGCTTTTAACTTAACTAAAAAATATACATGATATTTTATTTTCGTTGATTTCTAATGATTGTTGTTTTGTGACCTTTTATTCCTTTATCCGATTAGTTTCTATGTTATTTCACCGTGTCGTGGATAGAATTGATGGACTTCTACAAACGAATTTCCGATTTCGTATTTGGGATACACATCGGGAATCGAAGAAGTGAAAATAGCCATTATTGATCAATCGAATTGGATACAGGAGAAAATCCTTATCTTTTAAATTCTTTGTTTAAAACTTTTTATCGAGTTTTAAAAAAAATATAATGGAATATATGTTTCGATCTATATTTATCAATTAATTGATTCGATCATCAACTATTTTTAAACGAATATCAAATTTATTATATATTGATTTTAAAATAAATCTTATAAATTCAATGGATATACGATAAAGTATAAAATATCTCAAGCAATTTTGGTAGTAACAATTTTATATTTGAAAATTATTCGATTTACAGGTGATGAACGCGCTTAATAATTTTCGAAATCTATTAACCACTATTCATAATTATGTATGCAAGTGCGAAACATTGATTTATTCTGCTAGTCACGAGTTCACATCCTGTTAATAACAAATGCCAATCATACTAACGTGGAAACTAATTTTCTCGCTTGATCAATCATTGTCTGAAATGTTGAAATGGTGTTAATACTTCTATAATACTAAAGCATTCGATATTTTTGATATTTATTAATTGCTAAAACTAAAAAATTAATAAGCACTAAGTTTTTTATAAAATTAAATCTATAGTTATAACAGAAGTGAAAAATCTACTGAGACTCTCACTAATGAAAAATAATAATATTTTGCAGTGATGAAAATTTTAACTTATTGTTATAAGACACACGTAACTATTATTATTTATCAGTCACGCAAGATATTAATTAAAATAAGAATACTCAAGATAAAATCTTCGACAAAGTAGGATGTCTTTCATCAACAATGTAAATAATGATGGAAAAAATTACTTAATTATGATTTATTTCTTTGGTTTGACTGCATGCAATCATACTTTGGAATGATTATATTTGTTTGATTTGTATAGCATTACTTACAATGTATTGATTAAACACATTTCGTGTAAAGATATTTTTGGACAATGGAATACATTCTGAAATATATTTTTAGAATATCCATACATGTATTTTCACATTCATATCATAATATTCGAATTATAATATTAAAAAATATTAATTTTGAAAGTATTTCAATATCTTCAATCAATAAAGAGATATTAACAATGGAGACAAACATATCAAAATTTGTTAAGGACATTCGATACGTCATATTCTTCATATAAAAATAGAAAATATAAAACAATCTAAATATCTTATAAATACAGTGTTTTTTATTCACTCAGATAAATCATTTCTAACTTCCCATTTTTCCTCTTTACACGAAATGTTCGAAACTTAAAAAAAGAAAAAAAAAAAACTGCCTGCACCTTTTACCTGCATGGATAATATCACTTCCACTTAATCCAAATAAAAATTCCATGTGATTCGTAGTGCGTAGAACGCTGAAGAACGGCCTCTCGGAAGAGGAGAAGAAGCACATCGCCACTTACATCAAGGGCTACTGACTGTGATAAAACTCGAACCCTGTAGCTCGTCCACGAGAAGGAAGGAGAGGAATAATAAGCACGAATCATCGAATCATCGATCGGATGTTGATCACACGGCCAGGGCATCGCGATTTTACGGAGGCCAACGAACACGACCAATTCAGAGAGGAAGCACACCTTGCAGAGAGTGAATCGCGTACACCAAGGTTATACGTTTAAAGAATTAGATACTACGTATACATATATAGATATATATATACATATACACACACGCATATACATATATTTCGATCGAACTTTCTGTACGCTGGCAGAAAGCAGTTGTTTCTATCGAAACTTGGAGGCCTTCTATTTTTCGACGTTATCATATCGATATCCCTGTCGTTCGTATTTTTCTCACCTCGTGGAAGAGTCTAACATAATATATGGCTTAATACTTCTGAATCTTTGATTAGATGATTATTATAAATCTAAAACGATTATTCCGTGGAAGATTAAGACAAGTCAATGTATAGTTAGTTTTATATTGTTTCTCTATTCATAAGAAACGATATTTTCATCTCTAAAAATTGTTTGAAACGGAACATAAATAATGAGAATATAAGTATATGTGAAATTAAATTATATTTGATAAAATAAAAATAGTAATGAATTTGCAGAAATGAATATATTGACATTAATATAAACGGCCTAAAATAGCTTTTGAGAATATAGATAGAATAGATCCAGATACTTTTGGGAGTTGTATTATAAATTATTTTCTAATTAATTTGGTCAGATTTTATACGATTTTATAGATATTTGATCAAACATCAACAATATAACAAATAAGATGAGAAAGTTTACTATTTACTGACAAATTAGAATTGTTATAAAACATATATTATATAGATTAAATAGATATATCTAATGCATAAATCTTATGGAAAGTTCGTAAAGATATTTTTAATATTTGAAAATAAAATTGGGAGAATCTTTTCAACGAATTCCTTTTCATAAAGAATTAAATAATTTTCATAACGATTTTATCGATTCTATATAAATCGAGATTGACCTCTTACCTTTCGATTTAATTTTTAATTATAATTATTGTGATATAATGAACAACGAAGTCTCTTATCACAAACGATCATTGGAGTACTTCAAACTCATATATGGAATCACGAATTGAATTCGTGTTTAATTTTGATCTATAATATATATGTAATGAATTATATGATATGATTTTTACGTGATGATATATAGTGAAAAATGACTTATATTATTCACGTTTGATCTATATATCTGAATTTAATGTGATAATGAGGCAAGGGTTAATATATATAAATAAATATTCAAAGAATTTGTATTTTGCTCATTTATATTTACCTCCAACAATTTTATAATTATAAAATTTGAGCTTATAAAAATAATCTTCGCTAATTTTAAGATTTTAAGATTTCCAACATTTAATAAAATTGAAAGACACGAAAAAATAAATAGCAAAGTTTATTATTTTACTTTACATACCACGTATAATAAAATGTTTAAACATAATTAGTAAATTTAAAATTCTTTTAATTTTAATATATTTAATTTAATTATAATAAAATTGATTCACATAATACGATAAGTAAAAAATATTTTGTTTATCATATAATACTTTAAATAAAAAATATATACTTTCATATATGGAATAAAACTTAATTCAATTTAATCGTGTCTTTCATATATCGAACATACAAAATATTTTATCTATTCGACTTTCATCGAAAGTAAAACGTGGAGAAGGTTAAATAATCGATCTTAAGAGATTTATTTAAATATTTCGAGTGCTGACTGTTTATAAATGACCCATACATACTTGGTGAATACAACAACTTCTGAAACTTTTCTCCATCTTCAAAGAAAGAAAGAAAGAAAGAAAAAAAAAAAATAACACGAAAAGAAGAGGAGAAAAAAAAAAGAGAAACTTTCGAAATGCATCTTGCGCAGTGACAGTTTCTCAGGAATAAATACTCGTATGCAAAGAAGGAAGAATATTTCTTGAAGCAATTCGCTTTTGCAACATGCATGGGCCGAGAGGATTATTGAAAATACCCGTTGAAAAGCTTCTCCGTTTGAAAGTTCGAACGACAGGGATGAAAAATCGGACAATCTTATTGAAACGTGCCTCAAACGATTTTTGATCCGTCGATGAAAAACTTTTAGTTCTTTCTTAAGGTTTAAGAAAGTTTCGAACGAAATTGAATGAAACCATTCGATGGTACGAAATGATGTCTTTCGTACGTATTTTTCATTTTTTCTTCTTTCTTTCTTCTTTTTTTTTTTTTTTTTTTCTTTTCGTTTATTCTTTTTCGACGAAGGAAATAAAATGGAAAATGTTTACGCGACAACGATTTTATTTCTGCGGATATCGTAGGTAGTGAATTTCGAATACCTAGGAGAGGAAAATATTTGTAAACGGTGTGATTTATTCGGCGAGAGGAGAAACTTAATTAATTTAATTATCATCTTATTATCGCGCCACGTGGCGTCGCGCGTGCGCAATTACTGTAATTTTCTGCGGAAATGAATTCTTGAAATAAAATTGAGAGCAGCAATAATGGGTCGTTTCGTTTCGTTTCATTCATTTTTACCTACTTTTCTCCTCCTGTTGTCCTGTTTTATCCGCGCGATTTAATTCCAAATGGGGATTTGATATTGATATTGGATCGTTGGGAAATTCATTGAAATTTGTTTTACATGGCCGTCAATGAAATTTATCGCCTAAAATATAGGGTACCAATTTAAATTTAGTAATCCAAATGGAATATAATTAAATTGTTATGGTCATCTCTTGCACTGATATTTGTTTATCGAGGATGGAATTTATTAAGGTTAAAAAAAATAGTTATTTTTTTATTTTTCAATTACATTTATTTAAAGTATATTTATAAATTGAACAGAAGAGATAATATTGGAAAATAAATCGAAATGATAAAGAACAAAATTTCATATATGGCCATTTTTTTTTTTTGCAAAAGAAAACAATTAAAATTTATTAATTTAAGAAATAAGTATTAAAAATACATAATATATAACTTATTTATTAATCTAAATACATGATACGAATTCTTTGATTTATAAAGGGCAAAGATGGTAATAATATTTAAACTTTTATAAGATTCAACTTTAAGTTGTAAAATTTTATTTTATAAAATATCGAATATTTTTCATTTCATTTCTTCCTTTGCCTTCAGTTTCAAAAGAGTACAAAATAATTTTTTTAAAATAATTTTAATCGATAAACTGTTCCACTTTTCTCAAACAGAAAGAAAAGGACTGGCTACAGGAATTAAATTTGCAAAATTTCAGACATTAAATCCACAATTAAAAAAACTCTTTCGTTTGGGGAAGGAAAAGATTCAGAAATGCGAATCAAACAAGCTCAACGACTTATATAACAAACTGTGCTCGAGACACACGATTTATTATTATAACCTTCGTCCAACTTTAACAACATACAATATAATGTAGTAATAAAAACGTATCAATTAAAAAGTGTAATTAATGATAGAGCGTCGATCATGGGGGAAATAAGATCGCGTTTCTTAGCGACCGCCATTCATCTCCACCACGGATCTTCCTCGAGGCATTCTCGCGTCTCTTCCTCCATCGAGTTCCTCTCCACCACATGTCCTGGATACATATATATATATACATATACATATACATCTCGCGTGAAATTCGAGAATGCCGGCGGGGTTTGTTGATACCTCGTGAAAAAGGGGATGGCGAATCATGTTTATCCGTGTCTTGTCTGTGTGTGTATACATGTGTGTGTACGCATGTGTGATAGAGCGGGGGAATCGGATAAAAAAAGGAAGAAGCTTTCGAGAGAGGGATAGAATTGGCGCGTGTGATTCTTAGGTCGATGCGCTTAATTTAATTACTCTAACATCTATAATCGTGTAGAAAAAACACTTTCTCTCGGTCTCTTTCACATAATCACCCTTGTCTCTCTATCTCTCCCTCCCGTTCTCTCTTCGATCTCTCTTTCTATCTATATCTGTATAATTATATTACGTTGAACATCCTCGGCTTCGTGCCAGATTTTCGATCGCACACGACCCAGTCGTGCCTTTTCGCGAGCTCTTCCTCCTCAAGGCTTAGGATTCGCGGATATCTATTGTTGGAATGCACCGTTGGAAAGAATTTTTTCTTCGTTTCTTGCGTCCTCGCGTGATTATTATTATTATTATTATTATTATTATTATTATTATTAGATCTCGTACAATCGTCGTCAACAGAAATATCCTCATCGAAGGGACGATACAGATGGATGAAAGCCGTCCAAGACATTCTTACGTCACGTTAACTCTTCATTTGCGATCCGTGGAAAGAGGCACACATAGACAAATTTGAGTTTGAGGAGGGGATGTCTCCATTAATCCTTCCAATTACTCGCACAAACCCACTATAGAAAGAAAGTTCTTTCAATCTGGACAACAGCCAACCTCCTTCCTTCCAACTTCTCGATACCCCTTTCTCGATCCTCCTTACGTAGATCCTCCAACTTTCCAGAGATGATTCTCGATGAGTCTCCTTCGATTGGTCCAATGCCCTTCCCTCGCGAGAAACATGAAGATAAATCCTGTTTTCTCTCTTTCCTCTTCGCCTTGCCGAGAGGTGAAATACGATGATGATGAATACGGTTCGCGGATGATGATATTCGCGAAGACACAATTCACAAGGAAAAACGATCGATCGATGGATCGAGAGGTGACACGATTGGTGGAGGTGTTCCGTGTTCAGTGGCGTTCCTCGCGGATCGGACGAGAATCGAAGAGGCGATTCCGCTTGGATGGGAACACGTGGTGGCGCGAGACACGTCGGCGACGCGGTGCCCGGAGACGCGGCGACGCGGCACGAAGGCTTCAGAGCTCGTCGTGCTTCGGCCCACTGAACTCGTCGTGGGAGATGAAGCCATTCTTGTCCTTGTCCTCGTGCTGGAAGATCTCCTCAACGAGTTTGTCGTGGTCGGCCATTATCTTCTTCACCTCCTCGCTGTCCCCGCCGCTGCCCTTCTCCGCCTCGATCATCTGTTTCCTCAGATACTCGCTCACCTGTGCACACAAGCCAAGAGATTAGCTAGATCACGTTTATCACGTCCCCCCTTTTTCTTTTATTCGTGTTTGTTAACGAATCGAGATTTTTTGAAAAGTTATTGGAGATTTTTTGAAAAGTTATTGGAAATTGTTTTGTTCATTTGTCGAGAGAAAGAAAGAGAGAAAAGATTGTATATTTTTGAGATTAGATTTGAAGTTTAATTAATATTTGAATATACTCTAATATTTGTATTAGAGTATAGTATTTATATTCGATAAATAGAAACATTTCCTTATTAAAAAAATAGAAATAGAATTTAATTGGATGTCATAATAAATACGATAAAATAATAATATTAAAAAATCCATAATCACAATTTAAAAATCAGAAGAATGAAATTGGAAATTATTTGCAAAATGCACATTCCTTTGGTTATTAAAGAAATTTGACTCCCTACAAATTTATGAAATCTCTAAATTGTAATTAAACTAAGTTGTAATTAAATTAAATATTATTATCCTCAAAATATAATAATAATTCATATAATTCGATTATCCAAAATTGTATACTATTTTATTTTTCTTCAACTTTTATACAACTTGAAGAGAATTTCTCAGGATGAAAAACATTCTCATTGTATTTCTAACGACTACGATAAATTATTAATAAGCCAAACAATATATTGAATAATAATTAAATAGAATTTTACATAGTAACTCGAAAATTTATGCTAATGAATATGAAAAAAGTGAATAATCCAAAGGAATAAAAAATAATACGTTCATCAGTTATCAAAAAGATTTATAAGAGTTCCAATATTTCCAATGAAACTCAATTCGGAGCTTTATAATCATCCCATTTCAAGCTGTCTTAAAAAAAGGGTAAGCACATAAATTCAGCACGAACGAGTGTTTTCATTTATTCAAAGCTCTTTTCTTTTGGAATAAGCCGAAAAGGATGAAAAATATAAAACTGGCAACTATAGTTTTTAAATGTACTCCGACGCGATATATTCAGTTAAAAAATTGTCAGTCGCACAATATTTTAAAATGATTAAAACGTTTCTCTATACGCGTTGGGATAAAAAAAAAAAGGGACTAAAGGATTAGTGCACGTTTTTTATATACGTTGAAAGAGTCGACGAAAAAAAAGTACATATATATATATATATATATATATATACATATATTTACGTATAACGTTACAAGCTTTACAACATCCCTTTCTCTCGACACAATGTGTACATGTTAATCCTTTGCACTTGCACGCCAGAGATAAAGCTGGCAGCAAGCCTGATTGGCCCATGCTTTGATCCTTGAAAATTTTATGAGAAGAGTCTCACCGACAAAACAATTTTTTTTCTCCACCAAGCAACATATTTCCAATGGGAGAAAGAGCCACCGCAAAAAAGGGATACGTTAATCGTATCGTATCGTTTTATTAATAATGGAATAAAGCTTTCCACGAATTACGTGGAATACTTTGTTCATTTTAATTTCTCTCTCAGGCTCTTTCGCCGTTATCTGTAATGAAATTGTTGCGTGGAACAATGCTCAAGTGTCGAGAACGACAATTTTGATGAGATGGTACAACAAGCAGCAGAGGGAATAAGATTATGAGTTCTTTATCAATTAAGTAAGAATTTTGGTTCTCTAATTGTCCAATTCCACGTATATTTAATATTTAATAATTTGATAATGTAATACGAAATGATAAGAATTAGAAAATTAAGGAAAATGAATATGTGTGTTAAATATATGAAATTTTTAATGTTATAATTCAAAAGTGATATGAAAAAAAGAGAGGAATAAAAGTTAGATAAAGATTAGTACAAAATATGTACGTGTAATAAGTTATTAATTTGTTAGATGTATTAAACACGTGTATTAAATCCTTCACCGAACGACCCTTAAAGAAAAATGAAAATGATCTTGCCATTGCTCTCACCTCCTCGCGAGACAATTGGTTGTCATGGTCACTGTCGATTTCTTTGAATACATTCGCGGTTGGTGGAGAGTCACTGATGTTGATCAGTTCAACTTCGAATAGCAAAGTAGCACCTGTAATCAGAATTACATGATCTTGTTAGAAATATACTCAATTTTTTTTTTATATTAATTCATATTCAAAAATAATAATATTCAAAATATATAAAATTATTAGTTTCTTTTTGAATAAGGATTGAAATTCACAATTACTTCAATTTTTCTCACTTTAACATTTCCTCATACATAGTAAGTTTACATCGAGACGAGCAGACTATTTTCCTGAAATCCTAAATTTCCTTTGATACCTACAGTGCACTCAGAGAGTCATTTTCCCCGAGCCTAGGGCACAGATCTGTTAATAAAATATTTCACGATACTACTACAGTAAGGGCCCTTGTTGTCGAACACGTTCCAAGAAGTTTCCTCCACTCAGACTTGCAAACGTCCCAAATGTTGGCAGACGGTAGCATCCGCATCTCGAGGACACCAGGGAAAGAGATGAAATTCGCCATTCAAGGTATGCCGAATTTTTCGTTAATATCGTTTAAACGTCCTCGAGATATGAAATCACGATGGGCATGACGAGGATGAAAAAGATGAGAGAGGAACGAGGTTTCTTTCCGATCAGTCACGTTGATTTTCCATTATGTTTCACTGATCCCGAGAAGTACCGTTCAGTCGTATTGATTGACCGAAAGCCAATAAAAATCCAATACGTCTCTGTCAATGCTGACGAAAGACGATTGCCATGGCTTTTCTATTATTTGCTCGTCCATGATCTATACGAAAAATCTGTCTCGTCTCTTCTAGCTTTTCTATGATGTATGGCAAAATTTCTGTCGTTGACGTTTAATACTGATCCCAATTATTTTCGTTTAAATTCTTTTATAATCTGAATTATCACATTCACTTTTTACTTTTCCTTTTATTTCTTTCTATTCTAAATATTTAAAGATTACTTTAATAATATAAATATCTTTTACAATTATTGAGAGATAAATATATGTATAGAAAGGAAGTCGTGTATAAATGTAATTTTTGATTTAATATATTAATGAAAATTATATTTTCAAGTACAATTTAGAATATGAAGAAATTGAAACACTTTAACGAATTTCTTTTTAATCAATGAACATATAAAATCATAGAATTAAATCAATTTAAGTCTTTGTATATTTTATATTACATTTTGAAAAAAGAAAATGTGAAAATCATATAAAGTAACAAATAAAAATTGAAACTTTCGTATAAAAAATATGAAAAAAAACCAAAGATTTTATCATCAAAATCTATTCAGAAAATAGGGAAAACCATACCATTGAAATTCCTTTTTGTTTTATCCCGATATCTCAATCGGTTGCCGAGATATAGGGATTCAAAGTGTCCATAGCGCTTCAGACAGGGCAGAAATTATGAATGGGTCAGTGACCTACATATTTTCGTGGAAATGCGTACTATTTCCAGGAATCGCGTCTGTCGCTTGTCTGGACTTTGGGGTAGGTCAGTGAGACGAGGTGCGAGCGAGAGTTCCGAGTAAGCGACAAGGATGAAGATAATAAACGATCAAAAATTACCCTTTTCTTTACACGACGATATCTCGGCAACCGGAAGTCGTATCGAGATGAATAAAAAAGCGTTTTAAAGTGCAAGGTTCAGCGCTTCTAATGGTCTCTCATCCATTTACAAGAAGTGATTATCTTCGAAGTTATAACGGTTTAAAGTTTCCCTAATTTTAATAGAGTTTAACCGAGTTTTATGATAAATTACGTGACGATTATATTTATTTCTGGAAAAATATTGCTTATAAGGATATTATTAATGGTATCTTTAAGATTGTAAATTGATTTAGAAGTTATCTTGAGTTTTTTGTTGGAAATAAGTTGATTATATTTAATCGTGTTAATTAATTATTGGTATAAGAAATTTTATTTATGCCAGGGGTATTTTTTTTAGATTATTAATTATCAATAAAAAACACTTGAGAATATAATTTTTTTTTTTATTTCAATCTCATTTTAGCTTAATCTTATTTAAATTTAAAATGATTCTTGTCGATTTTAACTATCTTTATGATAGTTAAAAATTTAATTTCGTAGAAATATTAGAAGGTTCCTACAGAGCGAACAAGAAATATGGATTTTGGCAAAATCTTTGCTCAATTTTATGATTAATGGCATAACATTTATCTACGAAATGGAACATTTATTCGCGATTAAATAAATAAAAAATTGCATAGACGGATGAGTTTATTTCAAATTTAATTCAATTGTCTCTTTGCTCGTGTATTTTTTTTTTTTTTTTTTTTTTGTAAATATCACTTCGTTCAACATGGTTTACGTCGCGAAACTGTCGTAAATCATTTTCACGGTTTTGTATCGATCGGTGCAGTCACCGACAAACGTTAGTTAAACTACTTCACGCGATGTAACTGATAAATACAAAGGTAGTTTTTACTACACTGGTACAAACACTTGATACAAGTAGATTGTTTTGTAATTAATATGAAAATATTACAATTCCAATATTTTTAATCAAATTAACTTTGTGAGTTTAACACAATCTTTGAATTTTCGTATTAAATTCTTTTAAATTCTTCACTTTTAAATTATTTTCAAGTATTAATTTTTTAAACTTTCAATGTATATTCTAAATCGTGAAAACAGATTTTCTATTTCAATAAAATATATTTTACATTAAAATATATTTTACATTTTACATTATTTAAATTTTAATTCATTTTTCAATAAACTTCGTATAAACTTCATTTACTCGTCCAATTATTAAATTTCTTTATATTTCTTAATAGAAAGTCTTTCTTTATAATACAATACCATATAAATCCCACGATAAAATTTCCACCATAAATTTTAATTAAAATTCAACAAACCAATCGCATATTATTAATGATCTTAATAAAATAGAATAAAAATGTTATATTCTTAATATAACACACATAACATCGATATAAAACATTTACGATATACATTTATTAAACAGAGAAATTATCTTATTTCTATCTCTGAACGTTGTAATTGTCTGATCCCAATAAATAATCTGCTCATAACAAAGCACCTTACGGATAATTCCATTTACGTGACACAACCCCCGTGTAATAAAACGACGATTATTAAAGAATGAAACGAGCTCGTAATCAGTCACGTGCGTTTTAATTTCCAGAGTTATCGATCAATTCCATCTCGACGATTCTTACGCAACCGTCGAGTCGGGTTTGTCGATTAAGAACGACAAATCTCTCTCCAGGTTATACAATGTTTCCTTATGCGTATACATATTTTTATATCGATAACAATACGATCGGCCATGCGAGGAATTCTCAGCGAAATCGAACGAATAACGATGCGCGTGCATCGATGCATTATTTCGTATTAATTATGGACGATCCTATATCATTGATTAAGCTGTAACCTAATGAAATATGCTGTTTAATTATTCACTGCTTAAACGTGTGTAATTAATACAGCGGTCGAATAGATTTCATTTGTCGGCGAGCCCTGTATAAATTCAGAGGTTGTGTGCGGTGATCAGATAGAGAAATAACGGGTTAGAGGTTGTGGAGGATCGGTTGATTGCTCAAAGCCACTTTCTCCCATTTATCAGGGTATAGAATAGTTACTTTGATGGATTTCACGTTCATTTTAAGTGCTTTTCCATTTAGTTGAAATAGTGGCTGCTAGAATATAGGGAAGAATGGGATGACAAAATAGTCAATCAAATATTTTATACATGATATTGTTCTGCTGTATCGTTTATGGATCTAATCATAATATTTAATGAAAATTTAATGTATTTATAATTTTTCGAAATTATAAATACGTTATACATATATCAGTATATGTATATGTATTGGTATATTTCTTTCTCTATAGAATAATTTTTAACTGTTTAAAATACAAATTAATGTAATGATATATAGATCAAGAAANTCATTGATTAAGCTGTAACCTAATGAAATATGCTGTTTAATTATTCACTGCTTAAACGTGTGTAATTAATACAGCGGTCGAATAGATTTCATTTGTCGGCGAGCCCTGTATAAATTCAGAGGTTGTGTGCGGTGATCAGATAGAGAAATAACGGGTTAGAGGTTGTGGAGGATCGGTTGATTGCTCAAAGCCACTTTCTCCCATTTATCAGGGTATAGAATAGTTACTTTGATGGATTTCACGTTCATTTTAAGTGCTTTTCCATTTAGTTGAAATAGTGGCTGCTAGAATATAGGGAAGAATGACAAAATAGTCAATCAAATATTTTATATATGATATTGTTCCATATCTGTTGTATATTTATGGGTCTAATCATCATATTTAATGAAAATTTAACGTGTTTATAATTTTTCGAAATATCAGTATATGTATATGTATATTGGTATATTTCTTTCTCTGTAGAATAATTTTTAACTACTTAAAATACAAATTAATGTGATGATATATAAATCAAGGAATAAGGGAAAACATAATCATTCCATTATTTCCTATATATAAAGAAAAAAGAAAAAAATGAATAATTCGAATTAATATATATTTAAATATAGATAATAGTATATGACTGTTTAAACTATTTTTAATATTCTCATTGTAGCATCAAAAATGGATTTTATTTTAATGGAATGAAATATATAAGGAATAGACAAGATATGGAATAGATAGACTATATCGTATAATTTTATATAAAAATTAGAAATTTAAATATGCTCTTTTCTATTTGGTTATCATATTTAATTTAACTATCAGATAAAGTGAAAGAAAATCAAATGATCTAATAGTAGAAGTATATCCACGAAATTCATCGATAGCTGTCTTAAAAAAATCTAATCTCACAAATAATTCTTTTTTTCCACGAAAGATAATCGCATCTGACATTCATTGAACCGTATATAACATATTCAGAAACGTTGTTGAACGAAAGTTGACCAGAACGAAGTAGCTGTGAAGAGACTCAACAAATATCCCAGTCTCGCCTCGCTGCTAATGTAAACGTCGTGTTGCGCAAATATTTTTCACAAAGGAGACGAACCAGTGAAGAAGTTAATTAAGTATAAAACGCACAAACCGCAGTTACCTCGCTCATGTTGCAAAACCCTCGAACATTCTAATTTCTCGTTACACGTTCTTTCGTCACAGACAATTTGAGAAGAAAAACCGTGAAAGATTCAACCGTAATAGATGAATATGAAATCTGTTTCATTTTCAGGATCATTACGAAACATTTTCTAAATTTTCGTTAATTAATATTCGGTGAAAATTAAGTGAAAATAAAAAAAAAGTTTTAAAATAAAATGATAAATACATTGTTTCGATTATTTTGTTCGAACACGACGACTCGCCAGCGACTTATACCCAACACTACTGTGCAATAAATTCATATGCTTTGTGATTGATCAATGTTTTTTCTTAATAACTCGTTAATCAAATCCGAAACGAAAATTTTCGCAAAGGAATATTTGATATTAATAATAGATGTATAAATTTTCAAGTTATGCAATTAATTTAATTATGTGCTATTATTTATTACACGATACAAAGAAAATTTTTGTAAGAAAAGTGTTATATGAAAATAAAATTCGAGAAATTATTGTAATCATTTATAATATTTATTTAAAGTGAAGAATTTAATACGTATATAGAATTAATAAAAGTAAATGTAATAATTCTAGATTTAGAAATGTTTCAATAAATAATCAATCTGACTGAAAGATAGATACTCTATTATCAATTCCAAATTCTATATCAGTCTATTCTCAAATATTTTCGATATTCATGAATGAATGTAATTTAAGCATTTATATATTATCGATCATTATTATAATTATCGGTTACCTAAAACGTAATTACGTCGAATTTCGAAAACGTATTTAAATTTCGAAGTACATCTCAACGTATGTTTAATTTATTCAACATTTTGAAACATTGAAATCATCATTTGAAAATTCGTATTAAACGTTCGTTCCTCGATGAGAGAAATCGTCTCGGTTTAAAGGGAACGAAATTCAACCGATTTGACGACGACGATTTTAATGTTAACTCTTCTCAAATTATCCGTGAGTTCCATCGATTCTCGGGAACAAACGAATGGGACCAACGAACGAATCGATACAAAGGGGAATCGTTAGTAATGAAATCGGACTAAAAAATGCAATTGCACGGAAATCCAATAAAGCGTCAACCATTAAATCGAGCACCAGCCATCGAGCTGGATCAACAGCGACGTTTGTCCGCTCATTTTTTCCATGGGAATACACGTTAGATAAATCGAAAGTTAGTTTCGAATATGCATGCACGTATATCTCCGATCGTGATCGTTTCTAGATTAGAAAAGATTTTATTGGCGGAATATAGAATGGATAATGGACAGGAAAAGTTTTGATATTTATAAATTAGATAGATAGAATATTATTAGATTAGATGGATTAGAATTATAATTGAAATATTTCAAAATCTAAATCTATTTCTCTCTTTACCCTTTACAAATAAACTAGTATCAACATATTAATCGTTTTCATTAATTTATTTTTATTAATTTTCTTTCTTTGATTGAATTTATTAGATTGACGTTTTACTGATAATTTTATCTGTAGAAAATATCTTTAGAAGATTTTGAATTAATTATGAATTGAAATATCTTGAAATTTGTAATCCGATATGGTTCTAGATTTAGATATTATTAGCATTGATTTAAAATAGAATAAATTTAATAATTCTATTTAAAAGAAGAATTTTTTAAGCGTATTAAATCGATATTCTGTTAAATGTTTTTCTATAGTAAGTATAGTATCTTTGGAAATTTTAAATTAATTATATTATATACATCTTTAACATTAAATATTCTTTCATTGAAAAAATATTTGATATGCTGTAAAAATTTATAGAATGAAAGTAATATATCATCTAAATCTTGTACTCCAACATATTTTATATAAATTAAAATGAATACACATGATCATATTATTAAGAAATATTCTTAAGAAGAAATATAATATAATTTCTTAAAGACACATACAACTATGAAACATTATATTTTCGCAAAAATATATGATAAATTAAAATAACAAGAAAGAATGAAAATGATAAATACTCTATGCTCGAACACGTCCTATAATTTATATATCTATCTTATTCGTACGTTCTAGAGATTATTATCGAATACTCGTAAACAAAATGATTGTTTATCAACATTTGGGAAGAAGTAATTTCTATCCGGCAAAAACGATGAAATAATAATAATAAGAAGAAACTTTAGATATCGTAAGAAGCTCGGATAAAACAATCGGATGAAACAATCTTACCTCCAGGAATTACGTTTCCGGCTCCTTTCTCTCCGTATCCGAGTTCCGGCGGTATGGTCAACTTCCTCTTTTCGCCCACGCACATATCCACCAATCCCTCGTCCCAACCTTTAATAACTTGGCCAACTCCCAGTTGGAATGTGAACGGCTGATCTCTGTCCAAACTGTAACAGGCAATAAACGGGGGGACGTTTTAAATACCGTCTCAATGGAAATTCCCGAATAATTTCTTTTTAACGCAGACGAAACTTATTTCAATCCTTATTGAATCGTTCCTTTTTTTTTTCTTTTTTTCTTTTAATATACAATTATGGAAATAATTTATTGACGAAATTTTTATATTGAGATAACAATTTTTTTTCTTTTTATGAATTGTTTCTTTTGAGGAGTATATTGAACTATGTCTGAGAAGATGTCATAGATTTAAGGATATTGTTTATACTGTATTGTCGCTTATTACTGTCGATCGATCAAAGGAGATGGAAAGAGTATGTTCCCGGATAATTTAAAAATTTTATAGAAAATTTGCCTGGAAAGGAATGATCATTATATTAAAAATTAAGATTAACGATACATTTTCAATCATGAAATTCAAATTCAAAAAAAGATTGAATATAAATATTGAGAGCAATGTAATTCGTTGAATTTCAAGATTTTTTTATCCCTCGGAAAGGCAAGCGCACGCTTGTCTACCATCGATATTTCTCGTGAAAAAGGTTGCGTCGTGAAAGTGTCAATCCGATGCAGCCTAAAACCGAGTTCACTCCAGCCGATCGTTTCACGCGTTCTGCCAACGAAAATTGACAAGTTCATCGGCTGACTGACGCGAGAAGACGGAAAGGACGGAATAGAAAGGTAGAGGTTCTGTGAGATAGAAGGAAATTCGTCGAAACTAGCATAAAAACTTAATATAAGCAAAACTAAGTAATGATTAAAAGTATAGAATTTATAGAAAAGAAATACTTATTTTTATATAATTATAAACACGTTATTTTTATGTTTCAAATGTTACAAATTGATTCATTAATAAAAGTGTTTTTTTATAATAATAAGAATCATTATAATATTGTATTAAACTTTCATAATAGTCTGGCATCGAATAAAATCCTCTCGCTTTTATTATAATTCTACATTAAATAAAATAAAAATTTCCATAATGCATTATTCACGCAATATAATAAACTTTGGTCGTGATATTATACTTTCTGAAAATGGAATTTTTAAATGCCTCTTTCAAACTTCTCATTATCACTTTATAATATACCATATAGTATAATTCCAACTCAATTATAAAAGAAGATTTATTACTTTGAACTGATTTTAAAGTAATGTCGAATAAAAGTACAAGTTAAATATTAAATTGATATTGAAATTGATATAAACGAATTATTATTCCGTGTATCAAAATACAAAATAAAAGAAAGAAAAAATACAGAGAATTCAAATATGCCAAGTGTCATGGACAATAAGATAAAAATCTTGGAGGAAAGGGAGACGCGTGTGAAAGAAACTCAGCGTAAAAAGTCAATGGCACACAAGGGTAGGAACACGTCTTCGTTCGAGGCATCCCAACATGCGTTGAAACCACCGACTCAAAGGGTTGCGACGATGTCGATGGCGCGCACACACGAATGCGAATGAAGTTCCGTGTGCAACGAGTAACTATGCCGTGCCACGAGGAGAATCTCAAGTACTACGTTGATATGCAGATATTTCGTCTACGAGTTGAACGTCTACACACGCGTGCATAATTTTAGAAATATTCCCAGCAATGTTTCTTCCAGTTTTGTCTTCATTCTTTTCGGTGGTTTTTTCGTAAAGTTTTTTCGTATGGAAGAAATCGTGACTATGAATAAAAATATTTGAAAAATATGGAAAATAAATTTGAAAACAACTCGATTAAAATCGATAATGTTTAATATACTATAATACGATAATTTGTGAGAGTAATGGAAAATGTGAAAATAATGAATTGTATCTGTAAAGAATAGATATTAACGTAAAGACATAAAATTATTATTAATTTATCAATATATTTAACGTGTAGGATATTCGTTTTAATCTCTAAAATCAATATCCTTAAAAATATCTTTCATAAATAAATTAATAATTTATAATAGTATAAATAATTTACTAAAATTTTTCCTTTTCAATATAAAAAATATTTAGATCTTCATATTATTAAGAAAATAAAATAAATTTATATTTAAATTCATCACATTTGCATAAACATTTCAACAGTCCATTTATACTATCAAAAGGATATAATTAAATGAATTTTTTATGAAAAAGAAAAAGAATTTATTCCCAATTACTCTAATATTATTCGTATACTTTAATTCAGTTTGAACAAGTGTTCAAAATGAAAATTCATCCTTATTACCTAATATGGTATTATTACAGTCACTTTAGCTCCCCTCACAATAAAAAATTACGATCAGCCTAGCGACAATTATCGTATATGCAATAATTTCAGCTATATCGAACTAAAATGTCGTTTGACTTCCCCTAATAAACCCTTCGAATTCGAATAAAAATTAATATCCATTATTCTAGTTTGCTTTCACATTTCTTAAACACGAAGACCAGTCGAATATGAAAACGTAAGATTGGTTCGATTTCGAAGATGGCGCGAGATTCGAAACGATATTGATTCTTCCAGCTGGTTAATCCCCCAGCGGAATGAATTTTCTGATCCGCAAGATTTACGAGTCTGTAACCGCCCTCTTGATATCCTGGTTCGTGTCACAACGTTGAATTTCGCTGTTTCCTACGTTGTAGGATCTTCTTCAAAAAGAGATCCTAGTGACGTGGATTCGTCATAAGAATCCTCACGTTATTCACAAAATACCGTTATGAAAAAAATGATATGGCATCCATTGTAAACTTTATAATAAATTACAAAAAATACAGAATATTTAATGTTTCGAAAAGGTTTAATATAATATTTTATAATATGATTTTTTTTTTTTTTTTTGAGTTAAACACATTTTGAAATTAGTTAGGTTTTCACACTACGATTATGTGGATGAATATATCAATTTTTTTTTTCTATGATGTCTCAATCTCCAAAGATTAGTTTTACGAATATATTAACATTCTATATATATATTAATTCTTTATTGATCCTTAAATAGCATCCAATGATCGATTAATATAGATATAAGAGAGATATAAATTAAATCCTTCCTTTCATAATTTTTCGTACAAACAGATGGAATTCTATCCTTAGGAAACTCAAGCCAAAATATATTTTTCGTGTTACATGCACGAGTGCGCACAATTATGGCATGGATGCGCGAAAGCGCAGGAAACTTGAAATTCCCCACGTGGCACGGTGTAATTACCCTTACGCTACATAATTATGCTCGAAACTTGGGCCACATTATTCTGCACGCCTGCGATGCGAACAGTAATGAGTTGCGTTAGAAGGATTTCGACCTACTGCGTCTCGAGATCGCATAATATATTTGTCGCGTGTAAGAAGAACAGAGATATCGAACGTGGCTGGTTGGTAAGATGACAGTTTTAGGAATGAAATTATATCTCTTAATGAACTTCCTCGTGAATTAGCTTTCAGATAAATTGCAATTCGTTCGTGCATATAATATGTGTAATAAGCAAAAATTGTTGCAGAAGATTGATTAATTGTTAAATCAAATAATTTAAAATTTTGAAAAGTTTAGAAAATATATAAAAGTGTATGTACAAACTCTATACGATATGATAAAGATAAAATAGTTAAATTAAAATGTAATAAAATGTAATATTTCAATTTGCACGAACATTCATTAGACTATTGATAATTGATTAATATATAATGTATTATTAAAACATTAAATTTGTTTTTTCTTCAATGTTCAGCTTTATAATTGAATTATTTTTTCGATTAAATATTATTCTATAAATAGCCACTTTTATAAAAAGGATTATAAAATTATTCAAAGCTGTATGTTAATCCTCTTTAATTCCTCCCTACTCTTTTCGTTAATTATAACTGTTGTACTGTTTCAATTATTATCTCTCTTTTGTTAATCATTTAAATGCTTCACAATGAATCGTCAGAAGTTTCCATAACTATTATACTCCAGTATTATTTCTCCATAATAATTATTCTCTATTTTTCCGATGAAATGCCAAATCTCATTTCAACTTTAAATAACTGTGAGGAAACTGATGAGGAATAAACAAGAATAAAAGAAATTTTCATATTGTTTCACGGAGGAGCACAAATTTAATAACGTGTATGTATTATCAAAAATTGATTGACAAGCATTGTCCTTAATATTGTATCCGATGTTTCATTAAAGGGACTGCATGATTCCAAAATAAGCTTAATTAATTATCCAGCCGTGTTACGTCGCGATGTATTAATTACCATTTTCCAGCGAATTTCCCTCTCGGCTGATTTACAAAAGTAATAATTTAATCTTTCGTCTCTCGATAATAAAAGTTATTGTATCGAATTTCGAATGTTCGAAAACAGGTAATTAACTTGATGAACATTCGATCGTTGTGTAAACTAAATCATTATTTGTATTATGTATTATGTGAAGTATATTTCAGCATTTCGATATTTGAATTCTAAATTTAGATACGCGTTCAATTGTTATGCTGTTATTATTATTTAAAATATTTTTATCGATTTAATTTGTTTATATTATAGTGTATATTATTTATGACACATGATGGCAAAAATCCAATAACCAAGTCTTATTTCCTTCTTGTAATAAATATAAACTATCCAAAAGCATGTTATCGATCCATTGAAATACCACAATTGTTTAATTATTTAACAGCTAACATTTTTATCTTTCGATTATGAACCATTATTGATTTAATACTTCGTGATTATTGGTCTTCGACATATGACAGTAGATCGATATTGAACCTTTTAAAGGCAATTTACATTAGTTTGTCATTACACTTTGTATTTTACATGAGGAGTTCGTTGAAACGATTAAACGAGAACGATTTTAGGATCGATCTAAGTATCTGGAAGAAAGGATTTTTAGCAAGATATCAGAAATGACTTTTTTTTCGTTTATACAAAGTCGTAGACAAGATGTTTAAAAATAGAATGTTAATATATTCGTGAGATATATTTAGAGGGTCAATATCTAATGACCAAAACAAATATAAAAATTGGTATAGAAAAATGTAA